CGTCGGCTTGGGGACTGGAGGGTCCCGGGTTCGATTCCGGTCAAGGGCATGTACCTTGGTTGCGGGTTTATCCCCGGTGGGGGATGTGCAAGAGGCAGCTGATCGATGACTCTCTCTCATTGATGTTTCTAACTCTCTATCTCTCTCCCTTCCTCTCTGTACAAAATCAATAAAATATATTAAAAAAAAAAAAGAAAGAAAGAAAAAGAAACATTTATCAGCTGCCTCCTACACACCCCCTACCAGAGATGTGCCCACAAACAAGGTACATGCCCTTGACCAGAATAGAACCTGGGACCTTTCAGTCCGCAGGCCAACGCTCTATCCACTGAGCCAAACCAGTCAGGGCACCTGTGTTGTTTTTTATTGCTGATTTCTAGAGAGAGAGGAAGGGAGAGGGAGAGAGGAAGGAGAGAGAGAGAAACGTGATGAAAGAGAAACATCATTGACCAGCTGCCTCCTACACGGCCCCCAACTGGGGATGGACCTGGAACCAGACATGAGTCCTGACCAGGAATGGAAGCCCTTGGTTCGTGGGTTGACGCTCAACACACTGAGCCGCACCAGCTGGGCCGTCTTCTGTGTCCTGGCCTGTGAGGTGGTCCAGGGTCCCATGGGATTACGGAGGAACACAAGGACCGTGCGATGGACAGTTTTCTCCGTCTTCTCAGAGTTCCCGGGAGACACGGAACAGACGCTCCGGTGTGAGTCTGGGGTGGGAAGGGCTGTGTCACACTCCCCACGGCATGGCCACAGCCTCCTGGTCTCCTCCCCACGTGACCCCTGAGGGACTGGCCTCACCCACGCAGCTGACCATGCTCCCTGTGTCCCCACCACGTCTGCACGGCCTGTCAGGGCAGCGCTGCCCACAGGAGCCAGAGGGTGGCCACCACCTGTGTCCATCGACAGCGGATGGACAGAGCGAGGCCCATCGGGGCCTGGGTGTCCGTCAGACTAAAATCGAGTGCAGCTCTGATATGCCATGCCACGTGCTTCTGATCACTGTGCTGAGCCAGGGGCCAGGCACCGCAGGCGGGTCTCCGGCCCCCTTTCCATGAAGTGTCCGGCATCGGGACACCTCTGGCCAGCAAGAGTGCCGGGGCCGGGGCTGGGGCCGGGAGGAGGGGCGTGGGAAGGGGGTGCTGAATGGGGCAGAGCTCGTGTGGGAGGTGAGAGAGGCCTGGGGAGGATGGTGGTGGCGGCTGCACAGCCGTGTGAATGCACCTGGCACCCTGAGCCGTGCCCTCAGAAACGGTGACGGTGGCTCTGACGTGGGTGACTCCATGGATAGAGTCTCAGCCCCCAGACTGAAGGGTCCCAGGTTCGATTCCACTCAAGGGCACATGTCTCAGTTGCAGGCTCGATCCCCCAGTCCCGGTCAAAGTGTGTGAGGGAGGCAACCAACTGCTGTTCTCTCTCACGTTGATGTTTCTCTCTCCCTCCCTCTCCCCTCCCTTCCACTCTCTCTACAACATCAATGGGAAATACCCTCCCGTGAGGACTGACCAACATGGAAAACGGTGAGGGTGGTCAGCGTGATGGTCTGAGGGTCTCACTAGACACCTCATGCTTCCCAGCGCCCCCCCCGCCCCCCCACAGTCCGACACGTGTGCAGGCGTCCGGGAGGCGGCCCCGGGCATGCCATCAGGACTGGCCGGCCTCGGCCACAGGAGCCCAGTGCCATGGTAAGTGGGGTGCTGAGGGGCCCTGGCGCGGGGTGGCCCTGCCCCGGTAGGACAGGAGGGGGTGCCTGCCAGCGAGGGGCCTGGGCCGTGGGGTCTCACCTGCTTGAATGGCGGGGAGAGTCTTTGTTGAAACCATGGACCCCAATCCCAACAACCTCAGTGATGACATTTACCAGGTCATCATAAGACTGTGAGCGCGGACCGGAGATGAGCTGCGGTAACTGTTCCTTTAAGACGGGGTGGGATCGTGTTACTGCGGCTGTGAAAGCGCCAGCGTGTTTACAGGTGAAATAATACGATGTCTGGCATCAGCTGCTGTCTGTGTTCGTACAGCCTGTCATTTGCTTCCTATTCTGAAATCTCTGTGTGCGTGTGAAACATGACAAACAGGAAGATGCAGAAAGCATTCATGTACAGCCCTGGCCGGTGTGGCTCAGTGGATAGAGCGTCAGCCTGCGGACTGAAGGGTCCAAAGGACACATGCCCAATTGTGGGCTCAATCCCCAGTTGGGGAGGGGAAGAGGGGTGCGGGGGGGAGGTGCAGGAGGCAGCTGATCAATGATTCTCTCTCATCATGGATATTTCTCTCTCCCTCTTCCGTCCTCTCTGAAACCAATAAATAAATATATATTTAAAAAAATAAAAACATTCATGTACAATCTGGCTGGCATGGCTTAGCGATTGAGTGTCAACCTATGAACCAGGAGGTCTCAGTTCCATTCCTGGTCAGGGCACAGACCCGGGTTGCGGGCTCCATCCCCAGCTGGGGCGTACAGGAGGCAGCCGATCCACCGTCCTCTTTCATCATGGATGCTTCTACCTTTCCTCCCTCTCTGAAATCAATAAAAGAATATTTTTTAAATATATATTTTATTGATTTTGTACAGAGAGGAAGGGAGAGAGATATAGAGCTAGAAACATCGATGAGAGAGAGTCATCGATCAGCTGCCTCTTGCACACCCCCCACTGGGGATATGCCCGCAACCAAGGTACATGCCCTTGACCGGAATCGAACCCGGGTCCCTTCAGTCCCCAAGCCGACGCTCCATCCATTGAGCCAAACCGGTTTCAGCTCAATAAAAGAATATTTTTAAACACACACCCATTAATGTACAGCTTAGTGCAGCGTCACAGCGTAAGAACCCACGTGCTCAGCACAGAGCCAAGAATCAGACTCTGCCGAGACCCCAGTGATCCTCAGCAAATCTTTTCTGAGGCTACCCGCCTCCGATCCCCCCAAGCTCACCGGTGCACTGACGCTGTGGGCCTCACTTTCTCCTGCAGCAATACCCCTGGGTCTGCAATGTCACGCTGCCCGTGGAGCAGTGTTCTTCCTGAATTGTATGTCAGCCAGCGGCTCTCTCCCATCAATAGGTCCTTGGCTTCTGTGGTGCCCGGGTGGGTGTCAGGGTGTGTGTGCTGCCGTTCATTCACGTTCATGCCCAAGCACGGCACTCCCGTGACAGCGCCCCATGCCTTTCCCGCCCCAATGGCGGCAGCGGGCACTGGGGAGTGACCTGGAGCCCTCCTGCGGCCCTGCACCCCCTCGGCCGTGTGCGCGCGCACACAGCTCCTGGGTGTGTCCCTGGGCGCGGAAGCGCTCCATGCAGGACAGGGGCCCTCGGACTTCGTGGAAAACAACACGTTTCGTGGAAATGGTGTGTCTTATGGGCCAGAGTTCTCTCCTGTGGCCCGTTGATGCTGTTTTCCAAAGGGCCCGTCCATGGCCTCGGGCAGCGTGAGACTGACCAGCCCCCACACTCCTGCCTCGCTGGCCCTGGGTCTGGGCAATGTTTTTGCGTTGAGACTTCCTGTGGATGTGAGTGGTTTTGTGTTGTTTTGATTTGGGTTTTCCTGGTTCCCTTTTTTAAACTGTTGGTTTGCCTCTTTTTTCTTATGAAGTCGCAGAAAAATGTTTACGTCTGATGGGAGACTTGCCTATTTATAAATGAGCTGGGTGCCCCCCACGCCCTCTCCCCCCACCCCCCATCCTCTCTTTAGGAGAACTACAGGGGCTTATAACAGAAGCTGTTATAAGTCCCCTTTAATTTTTTTAAAGATATATTTTTATTGATTTCAGAAAGGAAGAAAGAGAGATAGGAACATTCATGACCAGAGAGAAGCATGGATCGGCTGCCTCCTGCAAGCCCCACCCTGGGATGGATCTTGCAGCCCAGGTATGTGCTCTGCCCGGGAATCCAACCCTGACCTCCTGATTCATAGGGCGAGGCTCAACCCCTGAGCCATGCATGCCTGCTGGGCTTCTAGTTAGCTTTTCATGGTTGTTTTTAGGACTGGTTTTCTTTCCGGTGACCTAGTTGTGCATGATTTACATGCTCTGAAGGTGTTGAAACCGGTGCGCAGTCCGGCCCGTGGGGGTTTGAAAATGTCTGTGTCCTCGAGAATGAATCCACAGCTGCAGGCGCAGTGCCCTGGGGACGGCCTTCGTCATTTCCTGATGAGCACCGGAGGGAAGCGTTTCCACACCGCCTCTGGCCCAGCAAGGACAGAGCCTCCCAGGGGTGTCCCTGGGCCAGGACCAGGACTGGAGAAGGCGGGTGGGACCTGCTGACCTGCGTGAATTCAAGACCTCTTTGGGACAGTGGGCCCAGGGCAACACTAAATTACTAAAAAAGCAATTGCATCACTTCCTGGGAGTGAGAATGCTAATAGCTAAAGTACGCAAGCAGCTGAAACCGGTTTGGCTCAATGGATAGAGCGTCGGCTTGGGGACTAAAGGGTCCCGGGTTCGATTCCGGTCAAGGGCATGTACCTTGGTTGCAGGCATATGCCCAGTGGGGGGTGTGCAAGAGGCAGCTGATCGATGACTCTCTCTCATCGATGTTTCTAACTCTCTGTCTCTCTCCCTTCCTCTCTGTACAAAATCAATAAAATATATTAAAATAAAAAAATTAAAAAAATAAAGTACGCAAGCAGCTGCACAAAGTACCATCCATAAAGTGCTAGGAGCCCTAACCGGTGTGGCTCAGTGGATAGAGCATCGGCCTGTGGACTCAAGGGCCCCAGGTTCGATTCCAGTCGGGCATATACCTTGGTTTCTGGCACATCCCCTGTGGGGGGTGTGCAGGGGGCGGCTGATGGATGTTTCTAACTCTCTCTCTCCCTTCTTCTCTGTAAAAAGTCAATAAAATATATTTTTTGAATAAATAAAATAAAATGAAGAGCTAGGACCAACAATGAGGTGGGAGGACCCGGACTCTCCACCCCCTCCTCCACAAGCCCCTCCTCCACAACAAGCCCCGCCTACGTTCTCCATCCCCCTCCTCCAGCAACAGGCCCCGCCCACAAAGCCCGCGCTCCGGCCCCGCCCCCGCTTCCGGGGAGATCCATGGCTCTGGCTCTTCGCGCGGGCCTGCCGGTCCTCGGCGCTCGGCTGGGCATGCCTGCGGCGCTGCCATGGAGACGCGCCCTGCGGCCAACGGGCGCCGCCTGGGTCTGCGCCGCGCCCGGCCCGCGCGTCCTGGGGACTCCACGGCGCGGGTGACAGCGAGCGCGGGCCGCAGCGGGGAAGGGGACCCGGGTGCGGGGAGGCGATGGGGACGTGCCATGAGGGGATCCGGGGCGCAGGCAGGGCGAGGGGGACCGGATGCTGGGGATGGGGATGTGTCGTTGGAATCTGGTGCGCAGGCTGGACGAGGGGGCCGGGATGCTGGCGAGCGGGTGGGGACGTGCCTGGGGGATCCCGGGCGCAGCAGGGGAGAGAGGGGGACATTGCAGCAGCAGCCAAGTGAGCAGGGCCTGGCGATGGGGAGAGGGGGCACGGGCCCTCCCGGAGAAAGGCACTTGCGTGGCTGGGGAGGCATCTGAGGGCTGGGGCGGGGAGGGGGCCGCTTCCCTGTCTGGGTTCCAGCTGACCCCCGGTTTCTCTCCAGGGCGTCCCATGCCCGGAGCAGGAAGAAGGCGCCGTGCTGGTGAGGACCAGGCAGCCCTCAGCCTGCAGCCGAGGTAACGGCCCTCCCCGGTTGGGCTGGCCTGGGAGCAGGCCCGGGGTCCTGTGCTTTTTGAGGTTAAGACTTGCTTGAGCCCTAACCGGTGTGGTTCAGTGGATGGAGCGTCGGTCCCAGGTTCAATTCCCGCCAAGGGCATGTACCTTGGTTGCAGGCACATCCCCAGTGGGGTGTGTGCAGGAGGCAGCTGATGGATGTTTCTCTCTCATCATTGATGTTTCTGGCTCTCTGTCCCTCTCCCTTTCTTTCTGTGAAAAATCAAAATAGTATTTTTTTTTTTTAAAGAAAAAAATAAGACTGATACACTCACGCTCCAGTGAGCTGTTTGCCAGGACACTCCCACCCCTTAGCCAGTAAGAGGATGAGGATCAGGCTCCCAGCCTAGGCCTTCCCAGGGCGACCGAAACGGGGAACCATGTGGGCAGCTGGGTTTAGCACTGACCCCGGGTTCAGATTCTGGGTCACAAACCCTGCCACTGCCCCCCAACCCCTGACAGTGTGCTCTCTCCTGCAGGACCACCTGGGCGAAGAGTTGCAGACTAGCCTGACCAGGAGCCCAGAGCAGACGCTGGCTCCACCCCCTGGTGGCAGCCCCCCCATCAGGCCGGAGCCGCCCTAGGCTCCTGTGGGGGCAGGCGGCATGGGCGCTGCCAGGGACTTCTGTCGAGCTGCACAGTCCCCTTTCGGAGGGCACCTCTTTTCAAGTTAGCGGGCCAAGCCCTGGTGTCAGCATCACAGCAAACACTGACGAATGCCCTCCCCCGACCCCCCCAGGTAGGTGCCTGGTCCCGGTCAGCGCCACGCCCAGCACAGTGCTCACAGCCGTCACCGGAGCCGCTTACCCGCTTGTCCTCACGGAAGGTCTAGGCGTCTTCAGAATGCTCAGCGGCTCCTCTCCAGCATCCCCACACCACCACCCTCGCCAGGGTGCCGCCCCCCGCCTGCCCGAGCCCTCTTCTCCACCATCAGATTAAACCGGGAACCAGCCCTCGGACCGCAGCCGGAAAGGGTGGGCCTCGGAGCGGCCAGCGCAGTCGAGGCCCGGCCCCAGGCCTCTGCTCAGGGCGAGGCGGGATGAGCGGCCGGGTCCCGCTGGCGGAGAGGGCCCTGTCCGAAGGCCACGCCAGGCGGCGGTTCCGGGACACGTCCCTGCTCATCTGGCAGCAGCAGCAGCGGGAGCTGGAGGCGGTGCCGCCCGGGACCTACCTGAGCAGGAGCCGCAGCATGTGGTACTCACAGTACGGGAACCAGGCCATCCTGGTCCGGGACCGGAACAAGCTCGAGGTGTCCCGGGACACGGGCCAGTCCCGGTTCTGCTCCGTGATGTGACCGCGCGGTGCGATCCGGGCCCGGCGCCCGCGTGAGCGTGGCCGTGTCCCCGCCAGCCGCCTGCGGCTTCCAGGCCTCGTGGGGAGACCAAGTGGTGAAGGTGAGGACCCAGCGATGGGGCAGGAACCTGGGGCCCCGGGTTCCGGGCTGCTGGGCAGTGTCCTCTGGCCTCCAGCTGGCGGTGAGCTTTTCATATTCCAGAAACCAACAAGAGCCCCCGGTTACCGATAATCTTTCCAAGCTTGGGAGGTTGTGTTTGCTTTTTTGTCATTCTAATTAAGGTGGCATTCAGTATTATATCAGTTTCAGGTGCTAGGTTGCTTTTTAAAAAGCATGTTTTTATTGATTTCAGGGAGGGAGAGGGAGAGAGAAACATCAATAATACGAGAGAATCATGGATCGATTGCCTCCTGCGCATCCCCTACTGGGGATGGAGCTCACAGCCCGGGCATGTGCCCTGCCCGGGAATCAAACCACAATCTCCTGGTTCTTAGGTCCAGGCTCAACCACTGAGCCACGCCAGCCGTGCGGTCGTAGGTTACTTTTTTTTTTTTTAAAGATATTTTATTGATTTTGTACAGAGGGGAAGGGAGGACAGAGAGTTAGAAACATCGATGAGAGAGAATTATTGACCAGCTGCCTCTTGCACACTTCCTACTGGGGATGTGCTCACAACCAAGGTACATGCCCTTGACCGGAATCAAACCTGGGACCCTTCAGTCCGCGGGCCGACGCTCTATCTACTGAGCCACACCGGTTTTGGCGTAGGTTACTTTTAATGTCCACTTCTGCCTGGTGAAGAATGATCTAGCAAAAGGTGAAGGAACAGGCATCACCAGTGGGAAATCTACCTGCAGGGCCAGGATGGCACGCACAGGCCGACGGCAGCTGCCTTTCAAATCTAGTCGCCGGAACGGTCGGTACAACGCACCGGCTCCGGAACAGGTGGAAATGGACCGTAAGGAACACGGAAGCACCTGCCAGCGCCCTAGTTCCTGGCAGCGAGGCCGGGACGGCAGGTTCCGGACGGACAGTGTCAGCGGGGCCGAGGCTGCGGCCGCCGTCTGCAGCACCCAGCGCTGGTCCATCCCGCAGCCGCTGTGTGCACCGCGAGGACCGCTGCCGAAGCCGGTGTTCTCTTCTGAATAAACATCCTGCGGGGCTCTCCTTGCTCGTGTCTGTGTCGGTCCGTGACGTGTTCCTTGGTTCTCTACTCAGCGTCTCATGATTGCTAACCCCCAACACAGTACCTCCCCCTCCCCAGAGACGCAGACAGTCCCGTGGCCACACTGTCCCAGGCACCTCCAGGCGGCAGCCCCCGGGCGCCGTTTTGGATTTTCCTCCTTGTTCAGCTGCGCAGACGGTATGGACAAGGCCCCCCACGGGCGGGCAGCGTCTTGCTGTCACCATGCACGCCGCATGCCCTGTGCCTCCCTGGGCGAGCTGGTCGGCTGACATGGAAGGGACGCCGGGGGGTCACCCCGCTCCCCCAGATGCTCCTGTTCAGCTCAGGACTGGCCTCTGCGACGGTTCTCAGCCACACGCTGCCTGTGGCCGCACGGCGCTGGAGGAAGCCTGTTCCTCCTGCACAGCGAGGCCCCTGCGGGGTCTGCACAGGTCGGTGTGCAGGTGACCGTGCCCTGGGGCACGCGGGCACCGCTGCCTGCCTGAGGGGACATGCCGCCCGTCCTGGTCCTCGGGGAGGGGCTGTCTGGACAGGCGAGTGTGGGAGGGACCGGCTGGGTGCCCGCCAGCATGGGCCTGGGAGTGGGTGCACGGGGCTGGGACTCGGGCCAAGAACCTTTTCGCGGGCCGGCCCGGTTCGCAGAGTGGTGTCAGGACATCTCTTCACTCCCCGCTGAAGGGAGCGGGGAGCTCGGCCCGTAAGCCGTCCGGTCTGGCGTGGTGTCGGGGGACAGTCTGCTGTTTGAAGCCTGAGGTCCTGGGAACCTCAGGAACCCCGAGTGCAGACGGAGGCGCAGGAGGAGCAAGGACCGGAAGGTGGGGGAACCCGCACTCGGGGGTGGCGTTCCAGAGGCCCTTGGACGGGGTGCCTGGCCACGATCTGAGGGGCGGTTCCGGGTGCACCCTGGGGTGTGCCCGGAGCTCCAGGCCAGGGGCGCTGAGGGCAGTGCTCCCGCCCCACCCCACCGCAGGAGCGCGGAGCCGCCAGACGCAGAGGTAAGCACACCGGCACCTCCTGTGTTTGTTTTTTTGCTTTTATTATGAAAACAAAACGAACGCCCAGGAGAAGGGCCCGGGGTTACCAGAAACATCAGCGCACTTCCTACCATTCTATTCCGCGGTGTGGAGGCCAAAACTACTTACAATGGACTCGTTTTCAGTAACGGACATTTACAGGAATATACTAGAAACGGCACTAAAAAGTTTAAGAAAAGGTACGGTAAACTCGCATGCACATCATACAGAAAAGTAACGTTTTAAATATAAAAAGGAAAACTTGGGGAAGCGTCGACGAGGAGGGAGCAGCCGCTCTGGACGCTTCTCCCCGGACGACGGTGAAGGACGTGAACCCGCAAAACAACAAACCAAACACAAAGGCGACCTCACAGCGCGTGGTGGGAGGGCGTCCTGCCGCGGCCGCACCTGCCCTGAGCATCACGGTCACGGTCACGGCCACGAGGCCGCGTCCAAAGCCATTCCCTCTCGTGGCCAACCTGCTGAACACGCGCGAACTTCCCTCACGGCTCAGGCCCCTCGCTCCTGCCCACAGGGCCCCGCCCGGCCCGCCGCAGCCTCCCAGCAGAGGTGAGCTGAGGCTGGAGGAGGGGCCCGGACTCTGGAGGACAAAGCCGTGGGGGCTGCACTGTGGGCTCAGCAGCGACAGCGGCCCGGGGAGGTCCGGGAACCCGCTGTCGCGCCCGGACGGCTCCCTCTGTGCTTGACTCGGGCGCGCTCCTCCCGCCAGCAGCTCCCGGTGACCCTTCGCTGCCCAGGCGGGGCTGGCGCTCCACGGGAGCCCCGGGCACCGGTTCCTGTCGTAGGTTAATGTGCCGCCAAAGGCTCTTTAGAAAACACTCTGAAAAACTAGGGAAACTTTAAAAATGGCAAGTTTTAAAACCCACTTATATATTTCTTATAAACAAAACTTCAAAGTTTAACAAGCTGGCTCAGAACTCACCAAGCATCGGGGTCCCACAGTAAGGAGATGGAACCGCCAAGCCCTCAGCAGAGTGCGGGCCCCCGCCCCACGGCCAGGAGCCGATGTGGCCAGGGCACCGCTGAGCCCAGCCACCCGGACCGGCACCCACGCAGGCGGCGCCCGGGCTGCCTGGGAGACGCCCGCCTCGGCCATCCTGCTGAACGGAAAAGGCGTGAGCGGGGGCCCTCCTGGAGCCGGAGGCTCTTTGGCCCCCACGAGAGGCTGGAAGACGGATGGGGCGGCGGAGGGGAGGGCCCGCACCGGGGCCGGGCGGGCGGGAAGGCCGAGTGTGCACTCCCGGCCGGGGCCTCGCTGCCAGACCCGGGCGGGCGGGCGGGCATCTCTGCGCTCAGAGGCCGGAGGGAGCCCCCGGCAACACAAAACCAGAACATACTTCTGTTAAACTCTATATTCTTCTTCTCTTTACAATAGAAAGTTAAAAATCAAGACTTGATTTACTATACATTCCCCCTCTCAGATTACAAAGTCTCCATTATATACTGGGGTTCCCTAAACCGGCTTCGGTTGAAACAGTCCTGGAGAGACCAGAGTACAAAACAACTGCACGAGCGAGCGAGGGGCGGGTGCCGGGCGGAGCGCCTGGCGCGTCTCGGGGCCCCACAGGGCCCCCCACCCCACCCCACCCCCGGGCGGGCGCCGAGCACCGCAGGGACTAGCACCTGGAGCCTGGGCTCCGCAGACCAAGGCCTGCGTCTCTGCTGTTTTATTTCTTTTCTGTTTTTCTTTTCTGTTTTTTAAAAAAATGACCAATGTGTTAATAAATAAAGTATTCATATATACAGAGTGGGAGGCGGCTGTGGAGTGTGGGGCCGCGCAGCGCTGACGGGGGACACACGGGGGGCTTTCGTAGAAAACTGCGGAACCTTACAAAAAGCCTCCTTTTTCTCTTTTCTTTTTCTTTTTTAAGTTGAGGTAAAAGTTTCAGTGTATGAAACCTGCACACGCAGCCACGGGCCCCCGGGAGCTCCTGGCATCGCCAAGGTCAGAACCTCACAGCCCCTCTCCCCGCAGAGCTCGGCCGGAGCCACACGGACCCGCCTGGCCCGGGGCCTCTTCCCAGCGGGACGGCCGCCCTCGGCCCCTGCAGGCGGCGGCGGCTCGGACCCCGGGGCGGGGGGACGAAGCCCCAGCTCCCGGATACAGAACCGCCTCGGAGACAGCCGAGGGGGCACCCCGGAACGGGCGGGCCCGGAGAGGGGGCCCTGCGGGCCGCTCCGCCGCCATCTCCTCGCTCTCCTCCGGCCGCCGGGCGAGCAGCTGCCGTGGTCACCCCTGAGCCATCGGACTCGGCCGCGCTGCGGACACACGCCGCCCCGAAGCCCGCACGCAGATGGCCTCTGACCTAGGAAGGCGACACGGGCGGCGGCCCCCGATGAAAGAGGACCCGCGCAGCGTGAACACAAGTAGTATATTGACCGAGGGGGGCACTCGGAGGTCGGCGCGGGCGGTGGCCGCGGGCTGGTGGCCAGGCCCGGCCTCACTCCGAGTCGCTGCTGTCCGAGCTGGACCCGCTGGAGCTGCTGCTCGCCGACTCCGAGGAGCTGCTGCTGCTGAGCCGGGAGGGCCCTCCGGGGGGCGCCGCGCCCGATTTCTCTGGGGGAGACGCAGCGGGTGAGAGGTTGTTCCCGGACCCCTGGGTCCCCCTCACTCCCGCCACACGCCTGCCACGCCGTCACCCACACGGCTTCTGCAGCACATCCAGTCTCACACCCCACTGTGTGCCACGGCCCGCCACGCCTCGGACACTTGGTAAGCGTGTACACGTGTTTGTGGCAGAGGAGGAACGTTAACATGGTAAGCGTGTACACGTGTTTGTGGCAGAGGAGGAACGTTAACATGTACACGTTCGTGGCAGAGGAAGAGTGTTAACGTGTACATGTTTGTGACAGAGGGAGTTAATGTGTACACGTTTGTGGCAGAGGAAGAGTGTTAACGTGTACATGTTTGTGACAGAGGGAGTTAATGTGTACACGTTTGTGGCAGAGGAAGAGTGTTAACGTGTACATGTTTGTGACAGAGGGAGTTAATGTGTACACGTTTGTGGCAGAGGAGGGAGTTAACGTGTACACGTGTTTGTGGCAGAGGAGGGAGTTAACGTGTACACGTGTTTGTGGCAGAGGAGGGAGTTAGCGTGTACACGTGTTTGTGGCAGAGGAGGGAGTTAACGTGTACACGTGTTTGTGGCAGAGGAGGGAGTTAACGTGTACACGTGTTTGTGGCAGAGGAGGGAGTTAGCGTGTACACGTGTTTGTGGCAGAGGAGGGAGTTAACGTGTACACGTGTTTGTGGCAGAGGAGGGAGTTAGCGTGTACACGTGTTTGTGGCAGAGGAGGGAGTTAACGTGTACACGTGTTTGTGGCAGAGGAGGGAGTTAGCGTGTACACGTGTTTGTGGCAGAGGAGGGAGTTAACGTGTACACGTGTTTGTGGCAGAGGAGGGAGGTTAGTGAGGCTGCGGTCTCAGGAGGCTTCTCTGGGGGTCTGTCCCGAGCTCCTCGGACCCGTGGAACACCCGGAGGGTAAGAACGCCGTTATTTATAAGATCCTTTGGGTCGCCCCGAGTTTATGCTAATGGGTGACTGGCTGGGGCCGCGGATGGCCAGGATGGAGCTGGTCACCAGCTTGGAGCCCCATCCCATGCGGGAGGGGGAAGCACATGGACTGGGAGGGTGGCCGGACAGGGCGAGGCAGTGTGTGGTTGTGTCTGCACCCCCCTCCCCTATCCCCTGTCCCCCCCGCCATTCCTGAGGCACACTTTGTATCTGAGGGAACACACTGAGTGGAGGGAACACTCTCCTGAGAGCCGTGTAGCACGTGACCAAATGGGGGGGTCTCGGGGACCCCCGGGGTGCACCAGCAGGTGGGTCAGCACTGCGGGAGGCCAGGACCCACGCCCGGAGCGTGAGGTAGGCGGGTTGTGGGCCGAGGCTGGCCCTATGGGTGTGCACTAACGCAGAGGACAGCGCCAGCCTGGACTGGACTCCGGGGCATCCAGGGGGCGGAGCCCAGACGACAGGCCGAGAACACCCGCCGCTGGCGCAGAAAGTGGGGAGTGAACAGAGCGCAGATGGGGGCGTGTGTGCTGCTGTCCCTCAGAAATTACTTGGGAAAAATATGTAAACAAATGAGCAATAAAACAATAAGCACCTACAGCTGAGGCAGTAAGACCATCTCACACCCAGAGACAGGAAAATGAACCCACTCCGCCCAAGGAGCCGATGGGCTCAGGGTGGAGGGAACCCCACCTGCTGACACAGAGCCGCCGCTCTGCCCTCCCGGGGTGACCCGAGGGGTCCTCCAGCCGAGCGGGCAGAGCTCAGAGCTAGGACATCGGGCCTCCTGCCATGTGGAGCCAACAACTCCAGCTGGTCTGTGGCCTCCCCGCCTGGCCCCGGCCCCCGGCCCCCGGCGGCAGCCCCGGTACCTTTCTTGGCCGGCTTCCTGCTGCTCAGCTGCCCGCTGACGTCCTGCAGCCGCTTCTCCAGCTCCTTCTTCTTCTCCTGCGCCAGCTCCTCCTTCGACTTGGCCGCCTGCTTCTTGCCGCTGGAGGCTGCGGGAGAGGCCGGAGCGGAGCCGGTCGGCGGGGAGGGACCGGAGCCGAGCGCACCCGCCTGCGCCCGTCCCCGGCCGAGCAGACGGCCCGGGGCTAAGAGAGTGGGGCTGTGGGCGCTCCCCTGAACTGCGGGGGGAGGGGGGGGGTTGGGGGCGCCTGAGGTCCTGTCCACTCACAGAAGGGCTTCCGCTGCTTCTTCTGCAGGCAGGACTTGACGTAGCGCTCCAGCTCCCGCAGCGTGGTGGGCTTCAGCGTCTCGAAGTCGATCTCGATCTCGTCGGGGTTGGAGTCCCGCAGCGAGGGCTCCCGCGACTGGATGATGTGCACCACGCGGCCCAGCTTCTCCCCCGGCAGCCGGTTGATGTCCAGGCTCAGCTGGCGCTTCTCGTCGTAGCTCATGGGCAGGCCCTCCTCCTCCTCCTCCGAGTCGTAGGAGGCCGGCGCCTGCTTGCCGCCCTTCTTGGGCTGTCTGCGGGGGAGAGCGCGTGGCGTGGAGCCCCGTCCCTACTGCCCGCTCCATGGAGCCCTGTACCCTTACCTCCCCCAACCCCCCCGCCTCCATGGAGCCCTGTACCCTTACCCCACCCCACCCCACCCCCCGCCTCCATGGAGCCCGTCCCCTGGGCCCTCCCCGCCCCCTCCAGCCTGGCTCCGCCCCCTCCAGCCCAGGCTCACAGAAGGGCATGCTGCCCCCAGGGTGCCCCGCGCAGAGGAGCCAGGCTGGCTGCCCGAGGGCTGCAGGTGTGTCTCCAGGGACACGGGAGGGAGACCCTGCTCCTGAGGCCGGAGCAGAGGCTGCCCCGCTGGCTGGGCCCAGGCCTCGCCCTGGCCTCTACCTACGGCTCGATCAGCCACGGGAGGGGGCTCAGGGGAGGGGGGGTAGACAGAGGGGACCCACAGGGGAACCGAGACCAAGCGCACCAACGATGCCATTAAACGTAAGCAGTCTAAACACACCGACTACAAGGAAAAGACGAGCAAGTTGTATAAGAAACAAGACCCGCCCTGGCTGGTGTGGCTCAGTGGACAGAGCGTTGGCCTGCGGACTGAAGGGTCCCAGGTTCGATTCCGGTCAAGGGCACAGGCCCGGGTTGTGGGCTTGATCCCCAGTGGGGGGCCTGCAGGAGACAGCCGATCCACGATTCTCTTTCATCAGGGGTATTTCTATCTCTCCCCCACTCCCTTTCTCTCTAAAATCAATAAAACATATTAAACACACACACACAAGACCTGCCTTACATGCTGTCTACACAAACCCCCTCTAAATGTAAGACAGAGTAGGTTAGAAGTAAAGAGGAGGAACCACCCACGGGAACACTGATCAAAGAAAAGCGACAGCAGCCGAGGTACTTCAGACAGAGGCGGCGCCACCAGGAGGAACGTCCGCGGAGAAAGAGGGCTGGGTGAGGGTCACAGGGCCACCTGGCCTGGGACGCCCCGGCCCTGCAGGCGTGTGCGCCCGCAGCCCGCTCCCAAACGCGGGAGCAGAATCCAACAGGAAGGAAGGGACGGCAAAGCCACAGCTGCAGCTGGAGGATCAGCTACTTCCTCTGGGCAGTTAACAAGCCGGTCAGCAGGAGCAGAGGCAGCCCGACAGCGACCCCGGGGTCAGCCTGCCTGTGGGGGGCGCTCTGTGTGTTTCTCCCTGACGCCAGCCTCTCAGCGGCGGCGAACACCCTTCCTCCCCCAGTGCACACGGGCCTTCGCCAGCTCCGAGCCAGACAAGTCTTTTTTTTTTCTGTTTTTTTTTTAAATATATTTCATTGATTTTTACAGGAAGGAAGGGAGAGGGATAGTTAGAAACATCGATAAGAGAGAAATATCAATCAGCTGCCTCCTGTACATGCCCTACTGGGGATGTGCCCACAACCAAGGTACATGCCCTTGACAGGAATCGAACCTGGGACCCTTCAGTCCACAGGCCGGTGCTCAATCCACTGAGCCAAACCGGTTAGGGCTTCATTGATTTTTTACAGAGAGGAAGGGAGAGGAAGAGAGAGCCAGAAACATTGATGAGAGAGAAACATCAATCAGCTGCCTCCCGCACACCCTACTGGGGATGTGCCCGCAACCGAACCTGGGACCCTTCAGTCTGCAGGCGGGATGCTCTATCCATTGAGCCATACCAGCCAGGACCAGACAACAATTTCAAAAGTATTCATCACTGACCTTAATGGAATTAAACCAGAAAAATCCCCAAACATTTGGAAAATAAACACATTTCCTAAAAACCCACGGTCAAGGAGGAAGTCTGAAGGGAAATGAGAAAATATTTTGAACTAAATAAAATTACAACCTATCAAGTTTGTGGAGTACAATTAAGGCAGCATTTAGATGGAAATGTATAGCATTAAATGCTCTGTAAGAAAAAGTCTCACCCTGGCTGGTGTGGCTCAATGGATAGAGCATCAGCCTGCAGACTGAAGGGTCCCAGATTGGATTCCAGTCAAGGGCACATGACCAGGGTGCAGGTTGCAGGCTGGATCCTCAGTGAGGGGCGTGCAGGAGGCAGCCGGTCAATGATTCCCTCTCATTATTGATGTTTCTATCTCTCTCCTCCCTTCCTCTCTAAAGTCAATAAAAATATATAATTTAAAAAAAAAGGAAGAAAGAAAAGGTCTCACCCGTCTGATGTGGTTCAGGGTTGTGTGTTGACCTATGAACCAGGAGGTCACTGTTCAATTCCCCGTCAGGTCACAGGCCCAGGGTGTAGGCTCAATCCCCAGTGTGGGGCATGTAGGAGGCAGCTGATCAACGATTCTTTCTTATCAATGACATTTCTATCTCTTCCTCTCCCTTCCTCTCCAAAGCAATAAACACACACACACATAAACATATTGTATATACACACACACACACACACACACACACACAGATGTACACACTAAGGCCTGGTGAATGCAATTCATGCACGGGGTGGGAGGTCCCTCAGCCCAGCCTGCACCCTCTCCAATCCAGGACCCCTTCGGGGGATGTCCAACTGTCGGTTTAGGCCCACAAGGATCAGGCCTAAACCGACAGTCGAACATCCGTCTCCCAATCCGAGACCGCTGGTTCCTAACTGCTTGCCTGTCTGCCTGCCCCTAATCACCTCTGCCTACCGGCCTGATGCCCCGAACTGCTCCCCTGCCAGCCTGATCACCCCTAACCGCCTCTGCCTTGGTCCCTGCCACTGTGGCTTTGTTCGGAAGGATATCCGGAAGATGTCTGGTCTAATTAGGATATTACCCTTTTATTAGTACATGCCTGTGTGCACGTGCCGAGGGGACCCACAGGGGGGGCCCGGTACACTAAATTCACGCACAGGTAGGGTTCCTAGGCGTGGCTGGTGATCAGGGCCAATCTGTGGGGTGACTGGCGAGGTGCCTGGGGGCCCACTCACCGATCCTGTCCCTCACCACCACCACCGGTCGCCTCCCTCTGTGGAGCGACTGCTGGGGCAATCGTCCCCCACTGGCACCTGCCTTGGCTGGCCTGGGGCCTGCAGGCTGGGGCAGCTCCTGTGTTGAGCGTCTTGCCCCCTGGTGGTCAGTGCGCGTCATAGCGACTGGTCATCCCACCTTTCGGCCCATTTGCATATTAGGCCTTTACTATACAGGATAGACCTATAAACGGTCTCATGGTGCTGGTGGCGGGGGATAGAAGGTGGAAGAGGGCACAGAGGGGATACAGGACAAGAACAACAGCCCCCCACCCTGTAAGCCTCCAGGACTCGCAGCCACGGGGCCACGCCGAGCCCCACGCCCAACATTCCTCCCGCCACGCAGCCCCTGGGCGCGAGGCTGGTCCCGGATGGCAGGCCCACCTGCTGGCCACGGTCGTGCTGCTGGCCTTTTTGGAGGGTGGCTTCTTGGGCTGGGCCTGCTTGGCGGGCGGGGCGGCCCTGGCCTTCTTCTCGTCCTCGGACCGGGCCTTGTGCCGCTCCTTGTCCTTGTCCTTCTTCCGCTTCTCCTTCTCCTTCTTCTCCTTCTTCCTCTTTGGCTTGTTCACGGGGGCCTGAGACAGGGCGGCCAGCTGCTCGTGCACGGCCTTCAGCTGCAAAAGAGCAGGCGCTGAGCGGGCCCCGGGCACAGCGGCCGCCTCGCCTCGGGCCACGCCGGCCCGGGAGCCACGGCTCTGCCCCCACTGCCCGTGGCCGCGGGCCCCTCGCCGGGCCCGTTTCCTCGGTGACCTGTGGAGAAGGCATCTGGTCACCGGCGGCGCAGAGAGCAGACGACCAGCCTGTGACACGGGCACGGGCTCGGCAGGCTCAGTAAGGACGCGGTAAATGGTGGCTGGCGGTTTTCTTATTCGACTTTATTTTTAGGTGAGGCGGACAAAGGCTGACACGGCTGTGTAAAGGCGGGGTTCCCGGCAGGTCCAGGGGCGGAGGGATCCGGTGCCGACGCGGGCTGGCAGCGTGCCGAGTGCTCTGTGCTTCTCGCCCCGGCGGCCGGGGCACAGGGCGGCCGCGCCCACCGGGCGGGAGCAGGCAGCTCTCGGCCGTCTTCCTGGCAGCGTCATCTCTCGGGAGGCTCCGGTCAAAGCCAAAGGCCCACCCCACTCCGCTCTTCTCCCTGCCGGAACCCCGGTATCAGGCCCCCGCGGGTTCCGTTCGCGTTTTTCTCAATCCATCGTCAGAGCCGCTCGAGCAGCGGGGAGCGGAGCCCGACTCGGAAACGAGGAGAGTGAGGCCGGGGGTCAGAGGCCGGGTCAGGACAGCCTCATCCCCGAGAGCCTGCGGGCCAGGCGGCGGGGGCCCCCAGGGCCGCGCTCCCGGGCCCCGCCCCCGGGCGCCGCGGGGCGGGGCGGGCTCACCTGCTCCTGCAGCTCCGCCAGCCGGGTGGCCCGCTCCTCCTCCGAGTCCGAGCTGGCCGAGTCGGAGGAGCTCTCCTCGCTGCTGCGGCTGCTCTCCGCGCCCTTGCTCACCACCGGCGCTGCAGGGGCCGGCAGCGCGGGCGCCTCTGCCGGCTCGTCCGGCATCTTGGCAAACCGCATCTCAAACACGTCCTGCGGGAGAGCGGGGGGGCTGCCTGAGTGCCGGGCGCCCCGGGCCTCCACGCGCCTTCCTCCCGCGTGCTGTCCGTCCGCCGGAGACTGTTGTCACAGAGCACAGGCTGCACAGGCCGCTGTCACCGAGTGTCCACGGCCGCAGCCCCACCTCCCCCAGCGCAGGGACCGGCCAGCCCTCTGGTCAGCGAGCCTGCAGGGGCCGACACCAGCCCTCTCCCTCCCCCTCGGCCGGAACGTCCTGTGTGCTGCCCCCACCGGAGTCTGTAGCTCCTAGAAGGCTGAGGGGCCTGTTGGCACCAAGTGCCAGGCAGCAGGTGGCGGCCGGCCAGCACATGGCCACCAGGTCAACGGACGTGGCTCCGGGGCCTCCCGCTGGACATCCTAAGACACCTGGGTCTTCCGTACGGCCCGGCCCTGACCCCACCTCGCCCAGCGGCCCGGCCCCAGCCCCCAGAGCGCGCCCAGGTTACCTGCAGCTTCCTGGCCATGGCCACCACCTCGTGGTCGGGCGGGTTGTACTTGTAACAGTTGGAGAACATTAACCGGATGTCGGCCGCAAAGCCCTGCGCGTCCGGGTACTCGCGGCTGTCCATCTTCTTCTGTAACACACCAGGACGGGGGGTGAGACGCCCCTGCCCACGCCTGCCCCTGTCCGAGCCCGGAGACACGCCGGCAGGAAGCCCCGCTCCGGAGCTGCTTCTGTCTGGTGAGGGCGTGGCCACGTGGGAGCGCCTCCTCGCCTAACCCCCGCACAACACACGCACCCATCACAGAAACCTGCGGCGCTCCAGGACAGAGGGAAGTGGAGGAAACGGGAAGTGGGGACCAAGGGGCAGCGTTGCCGGGCAGAGCCCCTCCCTGTGGGGCTGCGGGCAGACCCAGGAGCCGGTGCCAGCGAGGCCCGCCCACCCGCCCCGCGCGCGCGCACCTTGACGGTGCTGAGGTCCATCGGGTGCTTGATGATGTCGTGGTAGTCGTGCAGCTCCAGCGCCTCGGCGTCCACGGGCTTGTAGAAGGGCCAGGCGTAGGCCGCGTGCTTCTTGGACAGCAGCTCCTTGAGGATGCTGTCGCAGTGCCGCAGGTGCTCCGACAGCCGCCCCTTCTTGCCCGCGTGCTGGGGCACCTCGCCGTCCTCCAGGTCCTTCCGCGGCGGCTTGATGGGGCGGCCGCCGCTCTCCCGCCGGGCCCCCACCTTGGCCTGCTTGGGGTCCGACAGCGGCGGGGGCGACTCGCTCCGGCTGGCGGTGATGGCGGCCGTCGTGGGCGTGGTCGTGTCTGCTTTCCGCTTCACGCCCTTTTTCTGCGACAGCAAAACCACCCGTGAGCGAGCGCCGGGGCGAAGCCGGCTGAGACTGAGTCGTGGCAGCTGCTCTGGAGCACCGACTCCCGGCCAGGCAGCGGGCAAAGCCATGCGGGCTCGGCCGCGTCCATCCTCCCAGCTGCCCCCGCAGTGGGGACGGAGGCTCAGAGGGCCGCGTCGCCGGCCCAAGGTCACACGGCTGGCAGTGGTGAGGCGGGACTCGAACCCTCCCTGAGCTGCTCTCTCCCTTTGCGCCCCAGGCCCCGGGGTCACAGCAGCTCGTGAGGGCAGCATGCAATCACCCGCTCCTGACCAGCACCCGGGCCGCTGCGCCAGGGGCTCCGGGTCAGGCGTGACCACAGGCCGCCACCAGGACCCTCGCCAAACAGAGGGAACGTCCCAACAAGGACCTCAAAACTGATGCCCTCGGGGGCGGGGGTTTGGGGCGGGTGGGAGGGCGGTCTGGAGCAAGAGAGGGCAAGGCATGCGGGTGGGGTGGGAGCAGCAGGGCTGAGGGGTGGCCTGAACTCCACTCTGAAGGCAGCGGGAGCCAGCGAGGGCCTCTCTCCCGTGGGGGTGGGATGCTGACCCCCCGTCAGAGGGGGTGTGTCCAGCGAGAGCATGTTTAACGCCCGGGCACGGGCCCACAGGTCTCTCTGGCACAACCGCGGCTCTGGGGCCTCGCGCCATGTGCCCCCAGACCCCTCAGCTGGCTCCCACGTCTCCGCTCAGGCAGCAGCGGCCAAGAGGGCCTCAGCCGGGTCTGCTGTCTACAGCCGCCAGGGTCGCTGCCCAACGAGCCCCCGACCCCAGACGACAGGGGGCCCGAGCCGGCTATCCACCAGCTCCCGACGGGCACCCGGAAATGCCAAGCACGTGCGCAGGGGCCCGGGGCCCGTCTGGCCATGGCACACAGGACATGCTCCAAACCAGCCGGGCGGGCAGTGCGGCCGGGCCGGGAGCCGTCCCCGAGTGCAGGCAGTGAAGGCCGGGGTGGGGGCCACGGAGGCGCGTTACCTTTGGGGGCCATTAACCCTCTGGGCGCCTGCTCCTCATCTGAAAGATGGGGGAACACTGCCTGCCCCAGAGGGCTGCTGCGAGGTCAAACCGGAGAAGACGACACGAGTCAGTGCCCGCGGCCGCCGGCCGGCCCGCCCGGCGGAACACCTGTGCCTGACCAGGCAGCCAGGCAGTCCCACGTGGACGTTCCCAGGAGAGGGGGAAAGGTGGGAGAGAGGCGAGGGGGAGGCAAAGGTGCGGTGCTCACGCTGAGGGGCACAGTGGGGGGGCGGCGATCCACTGCCTGCCCTCCCCACGCCAATGCTGAAAACCTGAGTGTGCACAGGGTGGGGCAGATGGGCCGGGACCCTCCCACCCTCCTCTCGCACACCTTTCCCACCTGGACCCGTGCACTGCCAAGGCCTGGGGTTCGAGTGCAGCCTGCCCCCGCCAGCCATGTGACCTGCAGCCCCCGAGCCTCGGTCGCCCTGTCCGCATCACAGGCCCGGCGAGAACCATCCGGTGAGAACCACATGCACCCGGCGCCCAACACGCACATGGCCGGTGGCCAGGGACAGCGGCAGAGTCCCCGCCTGCCCGCCGCTCCGGCCTCCAAACCCGGGAACCCCGACAAGCCCTGGACACTCGCTCACCTTGATGACGGGAGGCGTGGGAGGGACCACGGGGATGATGGGTGTTGCCGGAGGCGGGGGGGCGGCCGCCGGGGGGACGGGGACCGACGTGACGTTTGCGGTGATGGTTGGCACGGGGGTGGCAGCAATGACGGGCGTCTGGGAGACAGTGGGGGGGACGCTCTGGAAGGGTGTCGCCGGGGAGACAGAGGACACGGCCGCCACTTGCTGCGTACCTGGCGAGAGGACAGGAGGTTGGACAGGCCCCGCTCCTGGGCAGACGCAATCCTTCCAGAAGCTTCCGGGACCATCCCCGCAGCCGACCGGACATCAATGGGGCCCTGCTTCCCAGACTCTGGCCCTACATCTCGGCCGCCTCTGTGGGTGCTCCCCCAACAAGTACAGGGCCTCCCCCTCTGGCCAGGACGAGCCACGCAGCCCTGTGGGCCGGAGCCAGGCCGGAGCCTGAGAGTGGGATTAAGCCGGACTCCGTCAGGAGCCATCGGAGTGACCCGCCTGGAGCCACTAAGCCACCCACAGTCCCCCTGCTGGCGACCCGCCTGCCTCTCTCGAGGCTCGGCCACCCTCAGCCTGTCCACCGGGACACACCTCCCTGCCGGGTTCCAGGGCCAGGTGAGACCCTGGGCTCCCCAACAGCTGACACAGCCTCTCCCGCCCAGAGAATACAAGTGCTTAAAGGGGAGCGTCCTCGGAGGGACAGAGGGACAGCCGGGGCTCCAGACGAGGCCCACGACCGCTCCTCCCAGCGTGCTCGAGGGCAGGCGGACAACACCCAGGCCCGCGTCCCGGACGGGCTGCGCCTCGCTGAGCCCCGGCCCCGGGTAGGACCCCGCCCCGTTACCTGCACTCTGGGCTCCTGCAGCCGGTTTCCGGCCTTTGCCCTTCGGAGCGGGGGGTAATAATTCAACTTCCTCCTGGGGCATCTGGGCCACTTTCTGCAGAAAAATTTTCTCTAAGGCTTGGGCCATTAGCACTATGTCATCTGTGGGCTGAAGACACGGGAGAGCCGAGGTTACACGCCGGGAAGGAGCCGCGCCTGCAGGACACGCTGGCTGACTCAGAAACACCCACAGAGGGACTTTTTTTTATTGATTTTTTACAGAGAGGAAGGGAGAGGGAGAGAAAGTTAGAAACGTCGATGAGAGAGAAACATCGACCAGCTGCCTCTTGCACACCCCCTACCGGGGATGTGCCCGCAACCAATGTACATGCCCTTGACCAGAATCGAACCCGGGACCCTTCGGTCCGCAGACCGACGCTCTACCGCTGAGCCACACCGGTTTCGACCCCACGGAGGAACTTAACACGGCGGTCGCCAGCTGGTGGCCCGCGGGCCACTGGCAGTCCGGGCGGTCCGAAAGGCTGGCGACCTCTATGGTAAGAGGACCTGGCCGGGCGGCTCAAGGGTTGGAGCTTCGCTCCCAGGCGCCACGGCTGCGAGTTCCACCCCAGGTCACGGCACATACAAGAGCCAACCAGTGAGAGTGTTTTAAATGAATGGAACAAGCCCATGTCTCTCCCTTTCTCGCTCTGAAACCAGAGAGTAAAACTTGTAAAGACATTTTGGTGGGGCAGGAGAGAGGTAAAAAGAGTACGTGCTAATGCAGAAACTGTTTTATTAAATTCAGAAAACCACCAGCCAGCCGGTGTGGCTCAGTGGTGGAGCACTGACCTATGAACCAGGAGGTCGCAGTTCAATCCCCAGTAAGGGGCGTGCAGGAGGCAGCTAACCAATGATTCTCTCTCATCGTTGATCTTTCTACCTCTCCCTTCCTCTCTGAAATCAATAAAAATGTATTTTAAAATAAATACAGAGCTCGGTGTATGTCCCCTCCTGGAAGGCCTCAATCCTCCCGTCAGGTCTGGGCCCGCCGTGTGTGAGGTCACGTGTGGGGATCAGGGCCCAAGGGTGCAGAGCGCCCAGGCCAGTCCAGGCGCCCCCGGCTGGCTGGCGGCTCCTGGGGCGTTCATTAGGGGGCCCGCGCCACCCCGTCTGCTCACCTTGTTATAAATATAACAGTTTGTAAACATGGTGTTGAAGTCCTGCATACATTCGCTGGCACTCCAATAATAATTGTTCTCTAGTCGCTTCTTGATAGTCCCCATGTCCATCGGGTTTTTTATTATTTTATGATAATCCTAGGGAAGAGATTTCAGAGGGTCACTGACGGATGCAACATCCTCCTCCCGCAATTCCAAGTCTCTGCCAGCGCCTGGGCCCCGAGGGCAGGGGCGTGCGGTCCGGGGCGAGCGCCCGGCCGGCTGGGGACCCCTCACTGACCTGGGTTCTAGGTGGGGGGAGGGGCTCAGAGAGCCAGAACCATCTCGCTGGGGAGGGGGGCCTAGCCCAACCCCCATTCCAAGGGCCGCAGGCGGGCAGGGCTGGGCTCGGCCCGGAACCCAGCCACCGAGTGCTGACCCAGGGCGCCCGGAAACGCGGGCCCTCCATTTGGGTACAAGGAGGAAAGCCATCCGACGCCGGGTCGGCACCTGGGCCACTCTGAGCGACTGACCTCGGCGATCAGCGGAGAGCATGGCGGGGAGCGGAGAGGGGGGAGGGAGCGCACACAGGAGGGCCCTCGCTCCTGGACCCTGCTGTCACCACAAACCACAGGGTCTCCCTGCACCAGGAGCAGCGCCCTCTTCCCCTGGGCCCCAAGTAGCTCCTCTTCTGGGGTCGTAGCTCTCTATGGGCTCTGAGCTGTGCCCCGCCCTCCGGAGGCCCGGGCCATGCCTGGCTCGCCAGCACCGCCACCAGCCACATCTCGGGCACCACCTGTGCCAAGGCCGGGGCCACGCGGGGCAGGTGGGCGCGGGCGGACTCACGGGCAGGTTCAGCTTGATGGCGTCCACGGGCTGGTAGAAGGGCCAGGCGAACTGGTGCTTCCACAGCGTCTTGACCACCACGTTCTGCATGTACTGCAGCTGGTTGGTCTTGCGGCCGGGCTTGGCGGGGTTGGCCACCTCTGGCGGGGGCGGGTTCACGGGGCCCGGGGCCCCCGGCAGCCCCGCGGGGGCGGCCGTCGCCGTGGTGGACATCGTCCGGCGGCGTGCTCACGGGCCGGCGCGGCAGCGGCTCAGGGCGGCCCTCGCGTCCTCCCCATTTCCAGGCCCGACCGGGCAGCGCCTGGGGAGGAGGGACACAGAGGGAGCGGTCACCGCGGCCCCGCCGCCTCGCCCGGCCACCACGGGCTCCCGCACCCGCACCCACGGCACAGCCGCCTGCCCTGGGCCAGCCGGCTCACCTGCCACAGAACCACAGAACTCACGCAGGGCACAGAGACACGGCGGCCAAAGGCCGCCTGAGCACACGGCCCCCAGGCGGCGGGGCGCAGGGGTGGGGAGGCGGCTGCCGTCCAGAGGGGACCAAGCTGCCGGCTCAGCTCACTGCCCGCCCCGGCTGACTCCACCCGCAGCGGCCGGCGATCCTCCAGGCCCTGAGGCTCAGGGAGAAATCCAGAGCCAGGGAGCGGGACACGCAGAGCCGAGCCTGGCAGGCGGGCCCTCGAGCGAGCGAGGTTCCACGGTAACCGCGAGAACGCTGTGGGTTTGTGATGGCGGCCAGGCTGTGACACCGGTGGAACCCGGAGGTGGCCTGCCGTGGGCCACGTGGCGTGTTTGCGCCAGGACTGCTGGCACGCGGGTGAGGCCGTCCCCACGCTGACTGGGAAACGCTGGCTGGCACCCTCCGCTCTGCCCCTGCCACCGAGTGGAGGCGGCTCAGAATCCAGGAGGCACTTCTTACTCAGCCGCAGGGGAGCCGGCTCCTCCCCTCCACACCCTCCCGGAGCGAATGGCGCCTCGCGGTCCTCGGCCTCACAGCCCCGGGTCTGCAGGTGGCTCAGTGGGCAGGTCAGCCATGTCGGGGGTCAGCCTTCCTCACTCAGACCCTCAGGTGACGGCACCGCCCCTCGCCGGCCTGCAGGGCGAACTGTGCCCCCGGCTCCTCTCCCTGTCCTGGCGGCAGGGATCCACGGCCCGCTCACCGCACCCTCGCCTCCTCAGGCCTCTGCTCCGGTGCTGCCACCGCCTGCCCGGCCTTCTCGAACCTCCCAGAGGCCCAGGTGTCACCTAGTCCTGCCTCACGGCCCGGGAGCCAGGAAACGGGCGGGGGACAGCCAGGGGCTGAAAGTGACCTTGGGGACAGGGGGCCCAGGTGCAGACCGGCCTCCTCCAAGCTCGAGGACAGACGGGCACGTATGCTCTGCAGAGGAAAAGTGCGAAGGCCCGGCTGGCGGGGCTCAGTGGCTGAAGGCTGACCTATGAACCGGGAGGTCAGGTGCCGGGTGTGGGCTCGACCCCTAGTGTGGGGCGTGCAGGAGGCAGCGGATCCATCTCTCTCTCTCATCATGGATGCTTTTCTCTCTCCCTCCTTCTCTGAAATCAATAAAGATACTTTAAAAAAAAGCGCGAAGGAATTTCTATTTTGAAAAAGATACTCAAAACACAGACCAACCACGTCTGGCCAGGCCGGCTCCCACGGTGCTCTGGTCAGGAGGCCGGGGTCTCGGGGTGGGGTCTCCTCTCCCAGGGCGGGGCTGTCGGGGCGTGGGGACAGCCCTGAGCCCGGAGCGCCCCTAAAGGGGAACCAACCAAACGAGGGCGTGCTCCCCATGAGGGGGCGCTCGGCACAACGGGCGTCTGGGCTCTGCCTCGGCGCCCCCAGGGTCCGGCCGGCCACACCCGCGCCACCGGGCCGCCCGGCAAATCCCACAGAGCCCACGTGTCGCGGAGCGAGGGCACGCCACCCCCAGTGAGCAGCTGTCCCCTGGCGCCCTCCTGGGGGGGCTCAGGCCGCATTCCAGGGCAGGGAGGCGAGTGTGGCTTCCAGAAAGAAGGATCAGTAGCCACCGCCCACTTGCCCCAGGGTTCCCCCCGCACCCCAAACTGAGTCAGTGATGGACAGAGACCTGGCCATGTGGAGGCCTAAGCCAAGGCGCCCTGGCCGGGTAGCTCAGTGGTTATTAGAGCGGTGGCCCTCACTCACAAGGCTCTCGGGTTCGATTCCCAGTCAAGGTTGCAGGTTCAGTCCCCGGTGGGTGGGCGTGGTGCGGAAGGCAGCCTACTGAAGTTCCCTCTCATTTATGTTCCTCTCCTCCCTCTACCTGCCGACCCCTCTCTAAAATCAATTTTTAAAAATTCTAGAAAATTCTACAGCAGCCGCACTGGCCCTCCTGTCACGATGCCGAGCCTGGTGGGGGTGGGGGTGGAGAGGATGAAGGTGGGCAGGCACCCGTCCTGGGCTGGGGTCGGGGAGGGCAGAAGCGGCTCAGACTCCATGGGGCCTGGTCCTCAGGGGCTCTCAGCGTGGGGACACCGGAGGGCCTAAGGGGAGAGCGCCCATGGGGGGGGGGGGTCGGAGGTAGGAGGGAAGCCAGGGAGTGAGCACCCGCCTCAGAGAGGGGGGGGCAGGCTGTGCTCGCCTGAGCCTCCCCGCCCGCCCTGCTCACACGCACCAACCCCACCTCGGGCGGCAAGCACAGCCTTCGGGGCTCCTCCCTGCACCCAGCCCTGTCTCCTTGTGCCCCCTGGCCTGGCTGGTGGGGGTCCCGTGAGCTCCATCTTCCAGGTGGAGGCTCAGAGGCGAAGGGGCACCAGGTCACCGGAGAGAAAGAGGCAGAGCCAGGCCCTGGACGCCGCCGTGTACCCCTCGCCGATCCCACCGCCGCCTCCCGGGAGCCTGACCATCCGCTGGGACAGGAGCCGAGGCCGGGAGGCCCCGCCGAGAGTGGCCCGGGTGCCAGACCCCAGCGGCCAGGCCAGCCTTCCAGCACCCCGCCGGCCGCCCTGGAGCCTCGGCCTCGGAAACAGGATCCCTGCGGGCAGGGCGGCGCGGGTGACAGACAGCCAACTGCCTCCTCTGGGGCCGGGAGGGCAGCGGGCAGGTGAGGACCCCTCCCGCTGGGCCCTGCTGGGCGCCACCTGCGCCCGGAGCACGCCATGCCCAGCGGGAAACAGTGCCCACAGCGAGGTGCCCCGAGCAGGCCCACCCTCCCCCTAGGTTTAGAGCACACCCGACTAGCAGCCCCACGGGCACCCCTGCAGACCCTCCCCGGGGCCAGGGCTCAAAGGGGAGTGTCTGCAGGGGAGTGGGGACGGCGTGGTCAGTGCCCACTCTGTCCAGAGCAGGTCCCGGGTCTGGGAGGCCTCAGGACCAAGATGCTCGGCGGTGGGCGAGGTCCGGGGGCCCAGGGCCCCTGCCCACCCCTCACCCCAGCTGCCTCGGGGGATCAACAGCGTGACAGGCAGAGTGGGACCAGGATGGCGCAGCCCTCGGTAAAGCAGGGTGTCTGGTGGGCACTATAAGCACCCCCACACACACACACACACAGCGTCCGCCCCTTCCCACCACACGGGCACATCCCGCCTGCCCGCAGGAAGGCCACCAGAGCCTGGAGCCTGGGGACAGGACAGGCGGCCCCGCCCCACCCCCACCGACAATCCCACCGACAATCCCACCCAAGGGCTCCCAGAGGCCAGCGCCTCCTCCCACCAGTGAGACCGCAGCCACGCGCTGCTGCAGGCTTTACTCCGTTGCCCCTCTGCCGCCTGCGGGGGCCCACATCCCGGACAGCAGTGACAGCCGTGAGTCTCCCCCTCCCCCCTAAGCTAAGAACTACACACGGCCAGGGGCACAGCCTGGAGGCAGCGGAGATGACAGGGCACAGGGGGTGCCCGTCTTATCTGGAGTCTGCAGCCAGCAGAGCCCGGCTGGCACCAGAAGCGCTCGACTACGTCCTCAGGATAAGACGCACCCGAACCCAGCTCCTCACGGCGAGCCGGGACCTGTGACACCCGGACACCCTGGCCTGGCCCCGCCATCACCTCTGGAACGTCACCCTGGAAATGCCGCCCGGCAGCCACCAGGCCAGCTCCCCGGACGTGGGGGAAGCGGACGGGGGGACACGCCCCAGGAGCTGGGCAAGTCCCTTCCAAACACCTCGCCCACCCAGCCTGATGACTGGCCCAACACTTCGGGGAGCCGAGGCAGGGAGGAGGGGGGCTCCCCCAAAAACATCTTCTGACTGACTCTAACTCAAGGCTAGAAAGACCCTACGAAGGAGGTAGATTGGGCTCTGGCTCGTGTTGCCCAGTGGTTACAGGATCTGATTCCGGGTCAGGGACGTGTACCGAGGTGGCTGCAGGTTCCATCCTGGGTCAGGGCTGGTGCAGGAGGCAACCATCTGATGTGTCTCTCACATTGATGTCTGTCCGTCTCCCTCTCCCCCTCCGCTCTCTCCCCCATCTACTAGCTCCAAAAACCAGTAAAAATGTCCTTGGGTGAGGATTAACAAAAAAGGGAGGAAGAGGGAGTAGATTGAGACCTGGTTCTCTCCCAGAACAGCTAAAAGCTGGCAGCAGTGACACACGGCCCCGGGTACTGAGCCGAGAGCCGGGGCCCATTGGGGCGTCCCTGCTCTAACCCACCTGCCTGCACAGGGTCCTGGCCCGGGACTCTCCCTGTGCCAGCCCGCACTTCCCTGCTGGCAGGAGGGCAGGAGCAGGCACCCGGGCAGGGGGCAGGGGGCAGGCATCCAAGGGCTTCGTGACCACAGGGACAGAGGGAGCTCCAGGCGCCAGCCCCCGCGACCCGTCCCCCTGACCCAAACACCTGTCGATCTCCTGAAATAGGGGCAGATGGGCTGGAGGGCACCCAAGCAGAGTTGCCGGCCCCACCCCCCAATTCCCAGAAGGCACAGGTGCGCACGCAGGCCCCGCTCTCCGCCGGCTTCCCCGACTTTCCCTTCCCGGAAGGATGCTGCCAGGACAGCGCCCGCAGACGCCAGGGTGTGGGCCTGCCCACGGGTGGAGCGCCACCCACATCACCGAACCCAGCACCAGAACGGCCCCAAAACCAGGATGCCCTCGGAGCAGCCTCCGGCGGGCGAGCTCCCGGCCACAGCTGTGCCGGGCGAGGGGGGCACATGATGAAACTCTGGGCAGGAAACTTTGGCCCGAAGTGAGGGTCAGAGGACACTGAGGCCCACCGGCAGTGGACACAAGCCGGCCAGGCGGGCGCTGGGGACCTGTTAGTCTACTCCTCCCCCTCGTCCCCCAGGGCTCTCCCCCAAGAACCAGGAAGTGGCCGTGCAGCTCACCACAGTCGGCTGGCAACTGGCCAGGCTGAGGGAAGAGGGGCGGGAAGGAGAGCGGGAGGCCCCCCCTTGCACACACTTTCCCTTTCCGCCCGCGCAGGCTGGCTGCGTGGAAGGAGGCGAGGCGGGAGCCGTGTTTACAAACCCTTCATGCAAACTCCCTTCCCGGGCGGGCGCACGTGAGCTGCGGCAGGAGAAAGGCACAGACTCCGGGACACCAAGTCACCCCCACCAGGTCCGCCCAGGAGCCCCTCCTCCCTGGACCCCGTGAGGGGCCCCATCGAAGCCCCAGGAGCTGCTGGGAGGCGTTTCCAGACGCCCAGGGCCCAGGCATGGGGGCCCCAAGTTACAGAAAGACCGGAGAGAAATGCCCCCGCCCCCACCCCGCGCCCAGCCTTCCCGATCTGTAACTACCGGCACACATCAAGGCCTCCAGACAGACAAGGGCAAACTCACACCTTTATTTGCAAATGAAAGGCCCACGTTCAGAGCTGCGGGGAGGGCAGGGCAGGAGTCCCTAACTCCGGGGCCCAGCCCCCTCCCCCGGGGGCTCAGGCCTTTGCTGGGTTCCCCTAAAAGTCAGAATCCCCCCGAAGCATGCCACCCCTCACCCAGGCCACGGAGCAGAGCACACGTTACAGAGCAGAGAAAGGGCCCAGGCACCTCCCGCCGCGGGGAGGGGGGGAGAGCGGGGAAGGAGCAGGGCCTGAGAGGAGGGGCCTGTCCGGCTGGGAGTTAGCCCACTGACACCCCGCCACCCCCAACTCTGCGTCCATAGCCAGGCTAACTCGGAGACGGAGCGGGGGCACGTTATGAAATTCTGGGCAGAAAGCTTTTGGCCAAAAATAAGGGTCGCAGGACACTCAGGGGTTGGGCCCAAAGGAGAGAACTCCCACCCAGCCCCCCAACCCCTCCCGCAGTGACCCCATTTCTTATTTTTGCAAACCTGCCCCTGGCTCCGCGGGAGAGATTTCCCAAGGCTTCCACCGGCCCTGCCCCCCAGGAGCCACCTGTGGAGAGAGGGCCGCCGCCCCAGCCCCCAGCTTTATTCACGAAGAACCCCCGCCCCCAGAACATGTGGACGTCCGAGGCCTGGGGTGAGCCCTGCTCCCCGAGGGGCTTGCAACATGCCCACTCCGAGGAGGGCGCAGAGCAGCGCCCGCTCCTCCCGCTCCAACTCGGCCGCGCGCGGATCAGGGCTTTCCGGGCTGTTTTCCAAGGGAGGCTGCGGCTCCTCCCGCCCGGCTGCAGCGGCCCTGCCCGGGCTCCCAACTCCGGGAGGGCACTGCCCTCGGGCCGCGCCACCCGCGGGCCCTGACTCCGGGCGGCCGCGCGCAGAGCCGGGCTCGGGCCTGGCCTCGCCCCCCGCCCCGGCCGCGTCGACGGCGGGGAGCCTGGCGGGCGGGGCGCGCGCGCCGAGAAAGTGGCGCCGGAGCGCACGGGACGCGCCGCGCGCCTTCCCCGCCGCGTCCTCCCTCCAAAAGATGGCGGGCCGAGCGCAGGGGGAAAAATCCCTTCCGTGAGGCTGGACGCGCGGGAGACGCCGGCGGGCGCGGGCCGTGCCAACTCCAGGCTCCGCGCCCCGGCCCGCGGCGACGCCCCCGAGCCGGCCCGGGCCGCGGCGCCGCCCCCCGAGCAAGGCCGCGGCCGGCCGGGCGGGAGGGAGGGAGGCGGCGGCGGGCGAGGAGCGGGGCCCGGGCGGCCGCCGCGCTTTGTTGCATCGTGGCCGCGCACAAAGGCGGCGGCGGCGGAGGCTGGGGCGCCCGGCTCCCCGGACCCGCCGGCGGCCTGCGCCGGGGACTCGGGGCCGCGCCGCCCGGCCCGCCCGGCCCGCCGCCGCCCGCCGCCCCGCGCGCGCAAGGAAGCAAGAGAAAGGCGTACTTGGCCTCGGCGGCTCCGGCGGCCGTCCCCTCCCGGCCCGCGCGGCCGGCTCCTCTCTGGCTCGCCGGCCCCGGCAGCATAATAGACGCGCCGGAGCCGAGCGGGGCTCGGGCGCCGCGCCGCGGAGCCTGGCGGGAGTCGTAGTCCGCGGCCGGGGCCGCGCCCGGGCTGCCCGGGGGAGGCGGCGGCGCGCGGACTACATGTCCCGGCCCCCCCGGCGCCGCGCCCCACCCCGCGCGCCCCCGCCCTCCCCCCGCCCCCCCGGACGCGGCCCGGGGGGCGCGCTGGGGCGGGGCGCCCCTCCACCCCCTCCGACCCCGGCGACGAGGCGGGGACCCCAGGAGGCCCTCCCTTCGGTGCAGGGGACGCGCTTCTCGGGCGAATTTCCTGGCGCCCGCGGGTGGCGTGGAAAAGGCGGGAGCGCGGCCATCGCCCGCCCGCCCGCCGCCAGACGCCCCCGGGGCCTCCGAGCCCGGGGTTTGGGGGCGCCCTGGCACCGGGCGGCGCACAGCCGGGCGGCGCGCACCCGCAGAGCGCCCTTGTTTGTAAACAAACCGCGCTGCTAATTAGCCGGCGGGCGCGCGCAGGGGCGGCCCGCAGGGGGAGGGGCTGCGCTCGGCTCCGCCCCCGTCTGCCCACCTCCGCCACCCACCCACCCACCCCGCCCGTCTCTCCAGCACCCAACACCTGGGGGTGGGGAGCCCAAGGTCCGGAACCGGCGGGGCGTCGGACACGTTCCCGCCCCTGCCGGGAGACCCCTCCCCCAGCCTCAGTTTCCCCACCTGCCCAGCGAGGGCAGGCTTGGAACCCGAGGTCAAAAGCCTTAGGTTCCAGACTCCAAAGATGAAAACAAGGACCCGGGCCCCCTTTCCCGTGATTTGTCAAGATCAGCTCGTGGGCACGGTTTCAGACCTGGTTTTGGGTGGCAATTACTCGGCTGTATACATAAGTACCGTTCCCCAGCTATAAATTAAGGTAGCTGCACGTAGTGTGTGTTACACACACACACACACCATAAAATCTCAGAAACCACCCGTTTTCCTCGGTGCTCGCTGGACCTGCCAACTGCGAAGTGGTGCTTCGGCGCTCCGGCCGGACCCACCCCAGGCCCCGGGTCGCTGGGTGGGCCTGAGGTTGCGCCAGCGCTCCACTGCCCCAAGTGCCCGAGTCTTTACACTGGGCGCCAGAGACCCCGTGCGGCCCGGCGGCCCACACCCCCCCCCCCTCACCGGCGGCTGCCCCCGCTTACAGGGCAGACGCTGGGCTCTGGGAGGTGAACGGACTTGCTCTGGGTCCAACGGAAACAGTTCTGTGGGGAACCGTGTGCAGGAGAGGCCCAACCCACCTGTCCCCAGCCTCTCCGTGCCCCTGCTGAGTGTGCAGCCCCTGCAGCTGCAGAGAAGGGCCTGGCTGGGGAGGACCTTTCCGTTTTAGGTTTGGGGGGATGGGGGGTGACAGGTCCTGGTTGTGTCTCCTCCAAGCCCTGGTCTAGTACCCCCACTTCTGTTTCACCCCCAAGGCCTCGTCCCCATCCTGCCACCAGGGTCTCATTCTCTGGGACGCTGGGCCTGGCCATCAGGACGGTCCACGTCATCACTTAAAAAGACCCTGCCCCCTCCCCCCTGAGGCCAATCAAAGAGCCTCTCCCCTGGCCTTGACCTTGGAGAGCCGCCCCTGACCAGCCAGGCTGTGGAGGCTGCTGACGCTCCTTGGGCCTCCGCTGACCAGAGTCCCCCTGGGAGCACAGCAGGAACCTGGACATCCCCGGGGACCTGGCTCTGAAGGGGGGACCCAGGTCCTCTCTCCCTGGCCCGTGCCCACCAGTCTGGCTTGCCCACTCAGGTGCGGCCCTGGGGGCTCAGGGCAGGGACGCTGCCTGCGGCTGGAGAAGTCTGGGGAGCAGTCTGTCAGAGCGATGACATGACAGACACTCACCCTCCTTGTTCCCAGTGCAGGGAGCCTCCCCCGGGGACCCCTGGAGAAGCAGAGCTGCCTTAGGACGGGACTTGGGTGACCCTGACGGTCCCCACCAACCACCATTCTCTCCCTTCCCGAGTTGTCGGGAGTTTCAACACCATGAGGTTGGGCCGCTTAATCTCCCCAACCCAGCTTCCTCATCTGTCAGGGAGGACAAAAATAGGGCCGATCCTCCGCTGGGGGAGGGGAGGGAGAATCTGTGGGGAAGGTGGGGCCTGTGGTCCCTATGGTTACTGCTTAGGCCTGCTTACTGGCCTCTCCTCTCCAGAGGCAGCTCCATGAGGGCCGGCCTCTCTCTGCCCAGGGCCCACCACAGGTCTGGCTCAAGAAATATTTTCCCGCCGAAACCGGTTTGGCTCAGAGGATAGAGCGTTGGTCTGCGGGCTGAAGGGTCCCAGGTTCGATTCCGGTCAAGGGCATGTACATTGGTTGCGGGCACATCCCCGGTGGGGGGTGTACAGGAGGCAACTGGTAGATGTTTCTCTCTCATCGATGTTTCTAGCTCTCTATCCCTCTCCCTTCCTCTCTGTAAAAAAAATAAATAAATAAAAATATATTGAAAGAAAAAGAAAAAAAAGGAAGATTTCTGCGGTTTTTCTGCCACCAAAGGAGATCATTTGCACAAAGTAATAGTGAAAGTCCTTACAAGCACAGCATGGAAGAGGGGGGCTGCGCTGCACTAATGTGGCCGCAGAGGCAAGAAGACAGGCGACAGCCCGCCAGGACCTCAACCTGCTCATCTGTAAAATGGGGATAATCACTACCTGTCTCGTAGGCTGGTGGCCGGGGACGAGGTGTAAGTTCTCACGCGTAAGATAGTACGGACATCCTCTCCTTCCTTCACTCCAGGAGAGCGAGGCGGGGTGGGGCGCCCCGCATTTCTGGTACAGGAACTACGCTTGTACACTTGTAGTTGATTTTGTAGTTGATTTCGTGCCGTTTTTCATCTGGATCATTTTCCCCCCCATGGCAAACAGGCAAATATCATGCAATACAGTTGAGTTTTATTTGAAGAAGCAATCCTTATGATACAGCGGTGAGAGGGCTGGCCGGGCAAGGGACAACCCAGAGAGAAGCAAAGATTTTTGGACACAATTGAAACTAAACCCACAGCCCTGACCGGTGTGGCTCAGTTGACAGAGCCCCGGCCTGTGGACTGAAAGGTCCCAGGTTCCATTCCAGTCAAGGGCATGTACCTTGGTTGTGGGCACATCCCCATTAGGAGGTGTGCAAGAGGCGGCGGATCCATATTTCTTTCTGGGACCGGACCTGCGGGCGGCCACTCAGCCTCCGGTTCTGCCACCCGAGGTCCGGCTCCCAGGAGGTGGCAGCTGCCTGCCAGCCCAGGCTGCCCGCCAGCCTCGGAGAAGCCTGGACCACATTCCCTGCGGACACTTGGCCCCACTTCCAGGGGCTTCACAAACCTGGGAAGACGAGGGAGGGACGGGAGCGGGGATGGGGCAGCTGGCAGCTGGCCTCCCGGCGCCGGACACGCCGGGGACTTCGGCTCCTGGCTGGCTGTGTCAGCTATTCTATTTCAGGCCCTTGGCTCCTCTGTCAGGGAATTCTCCCGCGTGGGAACCCAGGAAGGCGAGTGCTGGGGTGGCCGCCTCTGGGAGCCCTTCCTTGGCCCCACGGACTCCCCTCCAGCGCCAGGTGAGGGTGCCCCCAGGCTGGCACACTGGCCTGTGTCCCCGGTACAGCGCTCCGCCTCCTGAGCCGGTCCAGGCACTTATCCTGGATCTCATCCCACAGAGATCACCCGCCGTCCACGGCCGGGAGAGTCCGGGAAGGACCCGAGCGCCCAGGTCCGCAGGCCGAGGGAGCCCCTGAGCTGGGAGCAGGAGGCAGGCTGCAGGCCGCTGGGTCACGTGGCTGTGGAAACGTGGACACACATCGTCTGCTCCCTGTGCGGAGGCCCAAAGGGCAGGGTCAAGCCCAGTCCTTCCCAGTCCTGGCGGTGTGGCCTGGGGTGAGTCACCTGGGCTCTCTGAGCCTCAGTCCTGCCTCTATAAAAATCACATCGGGCCGAAACCGGTTTGGCTCAGTGGATAGAGCGTCGGCCTGCAGACTGAAAGGTCCCGAGTTCGATTCTGGTCAAGGGCACGTACCTTGGTTGCAGGCACATTCCCAGTGGGGGGTGTGCAAGAGGCAGCTGGTCGATGTTTCTCTCTCATCGACATTTCTAACTATCCCTCTCAATGAAAAATCAATAAAATATATTTTTTTAAAAATCACATCGGGCCGGGACTGGTTTGGCTCAATGGATAGAGCATCGGCTTGGGAACTAAAGGGTCCTGGGTTCGATTCCGGTCAAGGGCATGTACCTTGGTTGCGGGCACATCCCCAGTAGGGGGTGTGCAAGAGGCAGCTGATTGATGACTCACTCTTATCAATGTTTCTAACTCTCTTTCTCTCTCTCCCTTCCTCTCTGTACAAAATCAATAAAATATATTTTTTTAAAAATCACATAGGAAAGCTTCCCAGGGCGCCTGGGGGTTAGGGAGCTGGTGTGTGCAGCCCTGGGCGAGGGAAAGGCTGAGCGGGGAGAGGAGTAGGGGCCCAGGAAGAGCAGCTGCTGCATTGCTCGCCAGGACAACTGGCGTGGTCTGACGTGAAGGGGAAACAGGTGGCACACAGCAGCGACATTCATGTTCCTTAGGATGCCCCCAGGAGCCCCGGCTGCCCCTCCCTGCCCCCCCAAAAAAAACACCCTAAAGGCTTTGAACAAAATCCCCGGCTTTTGGGGCCTCTGATTTCCATCGGCCGCCCAGGGCTGTGGCTTCCTCAGGAGCTTGTCGGGACCTCTGGAACCCAGGGATTAAGCCCAGGCCTCGCAGACAGGAACAGTGGGGCCGGCTGGGGAGCTGGGAGCCGCATTCCAGGGATTCCTGCTCTGAGACCCGCCCCGCTGGCCGCAGTCCAACACCTTGCCCAGCCTGGATGGGCCGCCCGGGGGACCCCCTCCCTCCCGCCCAGGCCTGGAGTTGGGCGGGGCTAAGGGCAGACAGATTTAGTTGTGGGGCCTCTGAAGCAAGTTAGGGTGGGTCAGATCCAACAGGAAGTGGCAGGAAGTCCCAGGATTCATTCCTTGGGGAGGGTGTCTTTATTAGGCACGGACTCTGTGCCCCTCCCATCAGGCTCTGGGCCTGGGCTGGCGGTCCCTGCTCCCATGGACCCACAGGAGTGAGGAGGGGGACGTGTGAGGGCCGGCATGCTCCCAGGGGATGATGGGAAGGGGACGGAGAACAGGGGGTGGGGGCCGGCCCAGGGCTGAGCCTGGGGACCTTGAGGAAGGGACAGTTAGTCTCCACTTCCCTGGGGCTGAGGGACAGTCGGGGACAGAGTCTTTCGATTTTCTTTCTTTAAAAAAAATATTTTCATTGATTTCAGAGGGGGAGAGGGGGAGATAGAAACATCAATGATGAGAACCACGGGTTGGCTGCCTCCTGCAGGCACCCCACTAGGGATCGAGCCTGCACCCCTGTAGGAGCTCTGACCAGGAACCAAAGTGTGACCTCCTGGTTTATAGGTCATGTTCAACCCCTGAGCCATGCCGACTGGACTCGGTTTCCAAATGAGACAGTGCTATGTCAATGAAGCTGTCAGTCACCGGGGGGGGGGGGGTGGCAGACTACGGGGTCACCTTAGAGAGGGTGGCATCAGGGGGAGGTGATGCAGGGGGAAGGGAAATGGTGCTGAGGGAGGGAGGGAGGGAGGGGCGGGTCCATGAGGGAGGGCACACCCTTGGCAGAGGCCCTGGAAGGAGAGAATCCGGAGAAACCTAGGAGGTGGAGTCCCACTTCCTCCTGTCACCTGCTCTTTCTGTCCCGGGCAAACCAAGGCCCGGGCGAGGGCTGGGGCAGCCAGGGCTAGAAAAGGCTGTCTGGGTACCAGGCTCAGTGGCCAACGGCCTCAGGTTAGCTGAAGGCCCGCGGGGCCCAGGGTTGGTGGGTACACGCCTGTCGCCCGGACCACGAGGAGGCATGGAGGAAAGCGGGGTCCTAAGTCTCCCCCAAACCAGCCACCAGGGACAGGGAACATCCCCCAGACCCACTGACCTGGGCTGGGGAGCCTTGGGCTCGCTGGGCAGCAGCTCCCAGGAATGGAGGCGGAGTGGGGGCGGCTGTCCCGCAGGGAAACCTGGCCAGCGGCCCCTGCAAGGCCTGGGGCCTGCACATCCCCCCATGTCCCTGGGACCCACGAGGCTCCCTCATCAACTGCCATCGGAATCCAACCTGGGGGCTTGGCCGTTAAAGGGCCAGTGCTCCCACCCACCTTGCTGCCTGCTTTGGGTGTGTGGGGGTGGGGTGGGGAGAGGGAGGAGATCACAGTTCCTGCCACGTGGTCTGTTCCTCTGCCACCTGTGGAAAGCCCTCCACTGTCCCTGTGACTAATATGGCTTCTCAAAAGCTTGGAGTCCTATGTTCTTTTTTTTTTGAAACATGTTTGTTGTCCTACTTATTCATGCATTCATTGGCTGATTCATATATATGTATATATATATTTATTTATTATTGACTTCAGAGAGGAAGGGAGAGAAAGAAACATTAACGATGAGAGAGAATCATAGGCTGGGCTGCCTCCTGCACACACCCCACCAGGAATGGAGCCTGCAACCGGGGCCTGTGCCCTGACCTGGAGCTGAACTGTGTCCTCCTGGCTCATAGGGAGCCCCTCAACCACTGAGGCTCACTGGGCGCTTCCATCTTCCGGAGGCGGGAGGTGAAACCAGGTTACCTGGGCACCTGGCTGCGCTCTGAGCTCGGGGATCAGGGGCCTGGTCTCCTCCACCTGCCGCAGGGCGAGCTGGAGCTGGAGGCCTGGGAGCTCCTGGGTGTTGGCGCTGGCATGGGGGTACTCAGTTTGGGGGTGGCACTAGGTGAACGGAGGAGGTGGGTCTGGTAAACTCCCTGGGCCGAGTTTGGATTTGGACCCAGGGCCAGGGGAAGCCAGCTGAGTCCTAACCTAGGGTGTGACCGATTGGGGCTGGGCTTTCAGACCGAGGCCAGCAGGGAGGTGGGCCCGGGGCAGGGCAGGACGTGGCTGGAGGTGCCCTTCTCCCTCCTGAACCGGTCAGGTCACCTCCTGCAGCCTGGCCTCACCTCCAAGGCACAGAGATGGTTGGGAGGAGCGCCCCACACCAGCTGCCGGTCTACTCGGCCAGTGTCCATGGCAACCTTCCCCGGACAGGTCCATCTCAAAGGTTCCGTCCTCCTGTTTGCACCGCATCCCGAGTCGTGGTCGGTGTTCCCGGTTTCAGTCGGTAAATAACAGGCTGCCTGTCGTTCTGAGACGGGCTGGGGTGGGGCGCGGGGCCGGGAGGCTGTGACCCCCTCCAAGACGCTAAGACCCACGTGGGCAGTGGAGGGGCGCCCCCCACCCCGTGTGCGTGTGCGTGTGCGTGTGTGTGTGTGTGTGTGTGTGTGTGTGTGTGAATGCACCGGGTTTGGGGCCTCCAGAGGCCTCTGAGCCCCTCCCCTTCCCGCGTGTAACTGCAGGTGATGGTACCTGAGACGTCACCCTGCAGACAGCAGAGCAGCCCGCTAGCCCCCATCGCCTCCTGGGTGGGGGCTCAGGAGAGAAGCGGGCGCCCCGCCGGAGCGCGGTGGGCGCGGAGCCGGCGGTCGGAAGCCTCGGGAGCTCGCCGTCTTCGCTGCAGAGCGGGAAGGTAAGGGTCACTGTCTCCGGGGGCGCCCGGAGCAGAGCGTTCACGGACACCCTGCGCGGATGCCCCGCACGCGCCAGCGGCCGCCCTGAGCGCGCGACCGAGGAGGGACCGGAGCTCAGAAGAGACGTTGGGGCCCCCCCCACCCCCCCGCCCTCGCTTCCCCGGGGAGAGCTCTGCTGCTCCCGGGAGCCCCGCTGCAGGGGGAGCTCAGGATGTGAGCATTCGAGGGGACCCTGGCACTCTTCAGTTTTCAGAAAGCGCGGGAGAAGAACAGCCTGCAACCGGCTACTTACGGGGCTGAGGCTTTTAAGCAGGAAGCACGCACTATGTACTGTTCCTTTAAGGCGTAGGGCCTGCCCGAGGCATTCTGGCCCTCGCCGCGCCCCGTAGCGCCGCTCCGAGAGGCCGGCTTTGTGCTCTGGCCCCGCCCCCACGCCGCGGCGGCCCTTTCGCGCACGCGCACTGCCGGCTCCGCGCCGCCTCATCGATCTCGGCCCGGCTCCCGCCCAGGCGGCGGCCGTAGCGACTCCCGGGGCGCCCTGCCCGCTCAGCCCGCCGCGGCCCCGCAGGTAAGCGGGGAGTGGGGTGGGGGAGGCGCCTGCGCCGCGTGCGGGGCCCGACGCCGTTGCACCCCCAAACCGCCGCCGCCGCCGCACGTGTTCCGGCGGGCCCGGCCTCAGCCCCGGTCCCGCCCGCCGGGCCCGGCCTCAGCCCCGGTCCCGCCCGCCGGGCCCGTAGATGCAGGCGCCCGGCGCGCCCATGCCGCCGCGCCTTCCGGGTGCCCGCCTGCGCCCCTCTTCCGGCCGAGCGCGCGGCTCCTCTCCCCGCCGGGGCCTCGCCCCGCGGCCCCCGGCGGCTCCCGGGACCCCCGGCGCCCACCGGGCCTGGTGACGAGACCGCAGCCCGGGGGCTGTGACGTCTCCCCGCAGCCAGCCTGCAGGGCCCCAGTCTGCACGGCGCCCCCCGAAAACACAAAACACCCCACGAGCGCCCCGGGCCTGGACGTGGCGCGCACCCCGTCTGCCCTGCGCCGCGGGAGCGCCCGCACCCGGCTTGCTGCTCGGACTCAGCCCGAGGCGGCCAGGCCCAGGATGGGGTTCGCGGCCGGGAAGGGGAGGCCCCGCGGCGGCTCCGAGCCTGCGACCCCTCCAGCCCGGCCCCCGGAGCCGTTCCGGGCGATGCGGAGGGACGCGCCCTCCTGGCGGCTTGTCTTCCCCCCGAGCTCCGTGTGCCGGCGCCGGGGGCCGGGCCTGGTGCTGCCTCCGCCCTGGAGCGCAGGACCCTGCCTTTTGCCAGCAGCCGGAGCTCCAGGCTCGGGGGCTGGGCGGACACCGTGGGCAGGCGGGGGCCCAACTCCAGTGGCCGTGGGTGATCCCTTCTCCGAGCGCCTTTCTAAGGAGCCAGCTGCTCGTCCCAGGGAAACACCGGTGGGTGTTCGCGGAAAACACCCCCTCCCCGCAGGAAACGTGGGGAGCCTGCTGGAAGCGGCAGGTGGTTTGTGTGGAGTCTCCGCTCGCCCAGGTGGGAGCGGATTGGCGGAGGGAGGGGCTGGGCCTCCTTTCTCCTCACCTGAGGGCATTTGCCCGCCAAGCCGCACCTCCTGGTGGGCCTGCTTTTTTGCTAAATTGCGCTGGGGGGGGGGGGGCTGAAGCGCCCCTTTCTCCTCTCATGTGCTGGGCTCGGCCCGCAGGGCCACACTGGCCGCAGCCCGGTGTGGTCGGCCGTCCTGGGAGCCTGGGTCCTGGGAAATGGACTTTGTAGCCCGGGTCCTTGGCTCCTCCCCGCCCCCAAGGCCGCAGAAGGTAATAGCAGAGGAGCCTTGGCCCCTGGCAGCCCAGTGCCACAGGTTTTCCCTGGCAGGGCTGCCCGCACCCCCCCCCCCCCCCCGCACCCCTCCCCTCTCGCATGCGGTGCAGGGCTCCAGCCCTCCTCCCGCAGGTAGCCAGCCCCGCCTGCACAGCTGTGCTGCGTTGTAATTCCTTTCCCTTCTTGGGTGGAGATTGGAGACGTGCTCTTTTGTGTGATGGCTTCCGTTTCCCTTCGGTGTGCACGCTTTAGCTCTAAGCTCCAAGCGAGAACTTCGGTGTGCACGCTCCGGAACGGTGGGCCCAGCTCCGGGAGGTGGGTGGCCCGTGTGCTTCTGGGAGGGGCAGTTCCCATGGTCAGGGGGACCTGATGGGGCAGCGGCTTTCCCTCCATGCGTGCTCCCCACCTGCAGACCGAGGGGCTGCCCAGCGGGCAGAGCGGGGGCCCTGGGGTTTGCAGACTTGGACGATCTGGTTCCCACACCTGAGATCTGGCTGGTTCTTCCCGACCAGAACCTCCAGTGGTTTATAGGGCGGAAGGCCCTTTGAAGAAGAGAGCCTGGAGATTGCTGGCAGGCGGGAGGGCTGGCGGGAGGGGCTGCATTCCTGCATTCCCGCAGGTTTCGTGGGGAGGCGGCCTTGGTGGAGGGGCCTGAGGGAGCCTCCGCCCTGGCAGCCTCAGGGAGCATTAGGGATCAGGGTAGCAGTGTGGCGCCTCCCCTCTGAGCAGCTGATCCAGGCTCAGGAAGGTGGTCCAGTGGTTTCTACCCTTTTCCTGGAGTTGACTTGTAAAACGTGTTTGCTTGTTGGCCTAGGTCCCCCGCTGTAGGCTGCGATCAGCCCAGAGCCCTTCCTGCCGAGTGTTGTGTGTGGAGCTGTGAACCCGTTGCCTGCCTCTCCCTGCTGCTGGGTGGGCCTCGGAGCCATGGCAACGGAGGAGAAGAAGCCAGAGACGGAGGCTGCCCGAGCGCAGCCCACCCCCTCGTCGTCGGCCACGCAGAGCAAGGCGAGTCCCAGGCTCCGGGGGAACTAACTGCAGGGCATGAGGCTGTGGGTGCCGGGGAAGGGCGCTCCGGCGGCAGTGTTCTCCCCTCCGAGCAATGCTGCGGGTTAGGCAGTGCCTGGCGGTGTCCAGACCCGTCCCCTGGGAGGGGCCTTAGCCACAACGCCGCTCCTCGGGCTGAGAGTGTAGGCCCGGCGGCAGCTGACCTGCAGCTCCCCTCGCCGCGGTCCTGATGCCTGGCGGGTGTGCAGACCTTGCAGGCCTCTTACCCCGAGCAGCCTTCCGGTGTGCGTGGGGCTGCATGAGGGGCGGGCGGGCGCCGGTGGTCTGGGTGGGTGGGATTAGGGTGGTGGAGCAGAGGCACTGAGGTGAGGGCTGCAGAAGTCGGAGCTCAGGCTGGCTGTTCAGGTTGAGGGGACATGCGGTCGGCTCTGATAGTCACGTGGTACAGGTTTGGCGTCAAGCCGGAGGTGTGAGCTTGCCATTCAGCTGGGGAATCAGGTTCAGCTGACGGTTGGGCACTTGGGGCTGACGAGCTCTGTTTCCTCACCAGCCTACACCTGTGAAGCCAAACTATGCCCTCAAGTTCACCCTGGCCGGCCACACGAAAGCCGTGTCCTCCGTGAAATTCAGCCCCAACGGGGAGTGGCTGGCCAGTTCGTGTAGGTATCAGCGGGGCCTCAGTGTGTGTGTGTGTGTGTGTGTGTGTGTGTGTGTGTGTGTAAGGGGCTTGCTTTCCGACACCACTCTGTCGGTGCAGCGTGGGTGTGCCTGTTAGCTTCTGTGTGTAATCGGAAGAAGCCACGCCCTGTGGAACCGGTGCCCATTGCCAGTCCGTGGCAGTGGTTGGGCAGTGGTCGGGGAGTGGGAGGTACTGCCCGTTCTCTGTGGGTGGCATTCTTCAGGGTCCCTCACTGTTCCCGGAGCTCACAGGGGAAAACCCAGGTTTTGGACTCTGGGTGACTGGGCTCTTTGTTATCCTTCCTTTCAGCTGCAGACAAACTCATTAAAATCTGGGGTGCCTACGATGGGAAATTTGAGAAAACAATATCTGGTCACAAGCTGGTAGGTATCTGCACACTGGTGGCTGCTGGACACATAGCTCCAGCGATCACGTGGGTGGGCCTGTGGAATTGAGTCTCCCCCCCAAATTCTTTTTATGTTTTAAATATGTTTTTTATTGATTTTTGGAGAGGGGAAGGGAAAGGGATAGAGAGATAGAAAGACCGGCTGCCTCCTGCACACCCCCACTTGGGCATTGAGCTGAAACCAGGTATGTGTCCTGGCGGGAATCACGTGGTTCATGGATTAGCGCTTAACCACTGAGCTACCTTGACAGGCTCCTCCAAATGCAAGTGAAAGTTTATTTAGAAAAGTCACAAAGGTAAAAAGAGTGAGCTCAGAGAATGCATAACAGAAGCAAAAGAAGGGCCCAGGGGCTTAGGAGAGAAAGACATCGCACAACCCAGGTGCCGGCCCTCGACTGGGAATTGAACCCAAAACTCTTGGGTGCGTGAGCTGACACTAACCACTGAGCATGCTGGCCAGAGCTGCCACCTCTTGTTTTTTTTTAAGCGAATGCTCCTGAGTCCCAGACCAGCTTCTGCCCACGGAGGCCTGCAGTGCCACCGAGAGCGCGGTTGTTGGGGGCCACGCGGTGCTTAGCGCTGGCTGAGGACCTGCTTGCAGAGTGGGACGAGCTGTGTGTCCAGTTGGATTGGTGGGGGGGAGGGATTGGCTTCTGCTGGTTAATTGTGTTTTGTCCCTCAAGGCGGTGACCCTCTTGTCTTTTCTCCCTAGGGAATATCAGATGTGGCCTGGTCCTCGGATTCTAACCTCCTCGTTTCTGCCTCAGACGATAAAACCCTAAAGATATGGGATGTGAGCTCGGTAAGCCAAACTCGGGGGGGGGGGCCCTCCTGGGGGGGGGTGTGTGTGTGTGGGCGGGGGGGCGGCGGCTGGGGCAGCGGGTCCCGGGCGGCCTGGCTCTCCCAGGTCAGCCTCAGTCAGCCTGGCCCCACCAGCGGACCCCCGGTGACAGTCTATCAATATTTCGTTTTAGGGAAAGTGTCTGAAAACCCTGAAGGGACACAGTAATTATGTCTTTTGCTGTAACTTCAACCCGCAGTCTAACCTCATTGTCTCAGGCTCCGTAAGTGTGCTGGCCTCTGCGGGGCGGGGTGGGCACAGGTGACCTGCTGCGGGGAGGGTGGCAGTTTGGGTTTGGAGGGTCTGTCGGCTCCTGTCCTCCCTGGGGCGTGGCCTTGACCTCTCCTTGTCGGCAGTTCGATGAGAGCGTGAGGATATGGGACGTGAAGACGGGGAAGTGCCTCAAGACCCTGCCTGCACACTCGGACCCCGTCTCCGCCGTAAGTCCCTCTGACTGGGGGCTCCGGTCCCATCGCCGCTGCGGTGTGGGTGGGGACCCTGAGGAACCTTGGTCTGCAGAAGGGCAGGTGGCTGTAGCGTGGGGGATGGTGTCCAGGCCGGGAAGTGTGGCCAGGTGCAGTGTGAGGTTAGGCGGAGCCAATAGCTCTGGTGGTGGCTGGTGGCCGGAGGCGGGCGGGATGGCCCCGTTGTGGTGAGAATCCGGTTGTGGTGAGAAAGGGTGGTGGGTGGGCCCGAGAGCACCCGTCCTGCTCGGTGGGGTCCCAGCCCAGCTGTTCCGCAGGGCCCGCGCGGGCACAGAATGCAGTCTCGCTGCGCCTCCATCTCACCTAGGAGCGGATCACGTGGCAGGAAGCGAGGCCGGTTTAAAAGTTATTTGTTGTGAGAAGGCTTATCCTGTACAGTCGGCTCGGGACTCCACGGGAAGAGTAGGAATGCGTGTGAACTCCCTCCGGGCATTGCCCCCCTTTTACTGGCGCTGAGAGGCAATGGGGGGAGAAGGAAAACCCAAAGGTGCAGCAGCCACAGTGTCAGAGTGGAACGTATTTATAGGGAGTTGTGTGTCCCCCCAACCGCCCTGCAGAGCTAGACTTACAGGTCAAGTAAATGGTAAGTGGCCGAGCTGCAGTCAGCCTCGGCTGGCAGCAGGTCCCCGCGGGGTTTGGAGCCGCCTGGATCTCCTTCCTGGGCCCTCCCCCACAAAGCCAGGCCGCTCAGGCAGCCCGAGTGTGCTGTCCCTGCCCGGCGCCTGAGAGAGCTGGGGTGCCAGGCCGGAGCTCGGATGGCCACGGGCGGGCACCTGGGTGAGAAGCCACTTGAGTCCGTTCTTAGGAGGCTACCGATCCCTCGATTTTTTTAAATTTAAATTCATTTTTTTGCTTTTGTAAAACAATGTCAGGGGAAGTCGTTTTCGGTTCCGTTGGGACAGGCTGCCTTCCCTGGGGGGTGAGGGCACTGGCAATGGCTGGGGGCCGGGTCCCCGGAAGGACAGGCCCTCAGGAGTGGCCTTCTGTGGCCGTGGTTTATGTTCATTGCGTTTCATAGTAAGTGACTGGCTCTCCGGACAGACTGCAGCTGGTTTTCTTCTGTGGCTCCTGGGGTGGAAGCCGTCCTAGCACCATGGCAGCACGAAGGGGTCGCCCGCACTCGGGTGGGGCCGCGGGGAAGAAGCCCGTGTCACTGGCTCAAGTCTTCCTCCTCCCCCGCCTCCTCAGGTCCACTTCAACCGCGACGGGTCCCTGATCGTGTCCAGCAGCTACGACGGGCTCTGGTGAGTGAGGGCCTCCCTCCCCTTGGTGACGTGTGCTTGTGGGCCGTGGGCCGTGGGCCTCGGGCAGCGACAGCGGGAGGCAGGCTGCGGACGGGTGGACACCAGTGAGCCTCAGGTGGTGGGTGCTGCCAGGCCCACGGCCAGTGTGTGTGGCGGGAGGGTGCCTCCCTGCAGGGGCCCCGCGAGGCCTGGACCAGACTGAGTGCCTGTGGACACTGACATGGACTGGGCCTGGGGTGGGGAGGCCCGCGCAGAGCCTGCCTGGCGTCCTCAAGGCGTCAGTCCCGAGTGGTGGACCCAGACCCCCCACCGCAGGCAGCCAGGCGGCAGGGCGGGGCGGCGGCCTTGGGGACCGTGGTCTGGAGCTGGGAGGTGTGATGCGTGTGTGCAGGGGTGAGGGCGCAGGAGGAAGATGGGCATGTGATGGTTTAGGTCAGCAGTCGGTTGGTGACCGCTGGTTTAGGTGAACTCGGCCAAGCATCAGGGAGGGTTGGGAGGAACAGAGGGTAGGGTAGCCTCTGCTGAGTTGATGACCCGAGTAGGACCTGCCATGTACAAGGGAGAGAAAGTGTGTCTAGTTTCTTGATCGCGTTCAGCGGAAACGAGACGGAAGACAGCAGGCCGCATAGTGAAGGAGGGCGCCCAGGGTGTGGGGGCCGCAGGGCTGGCGGCTGAGCCTGTCAGAGGCTCTCGGGTTTGGGTTAGGCCCCTCTGACCCTTCGTCCTCTTTCGGAAACGCCTAACAGAGTGGCCACCGCGGGTCTGACGGGCGGGTGATGGGGTGGAGCGGTGGGAAGCCAGGGGGACATTGACGTCCGTGGGTTGCAGAGGGAGACAGTGATGCCGTGCTGGCCGGAGAGTGACGCGGGGACGGGACGGTGCCGGGCGTGGAGGGCGTGGGGCCAGCCTGGGCTGCCTGTGTGTGAGACCCCGCTGTGGAGGAGGAACTGGAGCACACGGGTCCAGCGTGTGCAGCGCCCATTCTGTCCGGGAACGGGCAGGGAGCTGTGGAGTGGACGGGGGATGCGACAGTGAGCGAGGGGGAAGCGTGTTCCCGCTAGTGCAGTCCCATTGAGGCCACTGGCTGTTTGCTTTGCAGCCGGATCTGGGACACCGCCTCTGGCCAGTGCCTCAAGACATTGATCGGTAAGCGCTGGCCCGGGGGCTCTCCTGAGGCTCCGGGAGCCCCTTCTCTGTCCTGGGTCTGCCCCTCCTCTGCCGCCCCTCCCCTCCCGCCCTCTGAAGGACCTGAGCACTGCCTGCTGGGCAGGCCCTGGGCTTCGGCCGGCCTTGGGGCCTCCTCCTAGTCATGCCTGGGGCAGTTGTGGCTGAGCCTCACCCTCCAGGCGTGCGGGAGGAGGGGCGTGGGGGAGCCTGGAGCAGAGGCCTGAGGCAGGGAGGGCGGGATTAGAGGGGAGGGCAGCTCTGGCCAAGGTGTCCTGGAGGGGGAGGCCTTGGCCTGGGCTGGCGAGTGGGAGGCTGTGGCGGGCTGCAGGCCTGGTGTGCCGGTGAGCTGGGTGCCATAGGCCCCTGGGCCTCGGGCCTGGGAAGGCTGTGGGGAGGGCGTCCGCCCTGCAGGGTGTCAGTCCCTGCAGGGTGTCAGTCGGGGCGTGTCGCTGTTGAGCCTCATCACCTGAGCCAGTCTGGAAGTGTTCGCAGTTGGAGGTCAAGGGGAGCCGGTGCAGCCGGCAGCCACGTGGAGGGGCTGGCCAGGGGTTGTATGCCCCTAAGCTCCCTCTGAGGCTTTCATGGAAGCTTGTAAGGCGGGCACCCCCCAAGAGCTGGTCCCTGAGGCTCCCAGTCCTCGCAGAGGCTGTCCTGTGCGCTGGTGTCAGACTCCTAAGACCTAGTCAGGCTGGGCAGCCTCACTTTTTTAGTTTTGTTAATCCCCGAGAATATGTTTGAAAGATACATATCTTTATTGATTTCAGAGAGGGAGGGAGGAAAGGAGAGAGAAGCATCAGTTCCCTGACCCAGAATCAAACCAGTGACCCTGCGGTTCTTTGGCTGATGCTCTAACACTGAGTCAGACTGACTAGGACAGGAGTGTCCTTACTGCCCGCAGCCGCCACGGCATCTCCTGCGCCCTGTGAGCAGCTATGGGAGCCTTTGGTCCGCTCGCCACCGCAGTGGCAGAGACTGAGGCCAAGGGGCTACCCAGCCCGAGGCCAGCAGCACCTAGTGCCTGGGGAAGGCGGGCAGTGGGCAGTGGTTCCCGGTCCTGTTTCTCAGTCCTGGTCTAGGAGGTAGAACCTTCTGGACTTGAGCACATGGTCCCGCTGATGCTGTGCTCAGGGGCTGGGTTGGGCTGTCGGTGCCCTCATCTCGCCTCGTTACCCACCGGCCTCCCAGTGCGGCCTCACACCTCCCTGTGCCTTTCCAGTGTCTGGTCCCAGCCTGCGGCCCCAGGTGCCCCGCAGCCAGGCCCGGGTTCTCCGATGTGGTAATGCCACTCCCCGGGCACCCGGGACGCCAGCTGCCCCTGCTCCCCCTCCAGGTGCAGCTCCCGGTCCCCCGCCCGGCCAGGCGGCACGCACTGTCACGTGGCGGAGGGCCCCCCGGGGCTCGGAGTGCTGAGCCCGGCGGCTGTGAGGGGTGGCTCTGACCCGGCCCCAGGCCGCCGGGCTCAGACGCAGCGGTGTGGGTGTACCGAGGGCTTTCTGGAGGAGCTCACAGGTCTTTGGCCAAAACGGTCATGGGAGACACAGAGCGTCCACCCAGTCGTTTGCGTGTCCTGACCTCCGTCTGCCTGGCGTGTGCGTATGTTCCACATGAGGAAGCTGATCCTGGGTCCCCCACTGCCCACGGGGGCTGGCACCCCGAGTATGCACGTTGCGGGCCCTGTGCTCCCCAAGCCCTCGTGCCGGCGGGCTGCCCACGGGGCCACGAGGGGTGTTGGCACCGGTGGCAGCTGCCTCACCTGAGGGTCCTAAGCAGCGATGGGTGGTTCCTCCTGCCCCCGGGCCCGAGCCCTGCTCAGCCCCCGCTTCCCGCAGATGACGACAACCCCCCGGTGTCCTTCGTCAAGTTCTCCCCGAACGGCAAGTACATCCTGGCGGCAACCTTGGACAAGTGAGTGCTCCCGCCGCCCCACAGCAGCCCTTCCGCGGGGGACGGGCCCTCCCCCTCCCCCTCCCCCTCCCCCTCCTCAGCTGCAGGATTGGGGGACAGGCTGAGCTTTGGTCTGGTTCTGTGCAGATTCCCATGGCTGAGGACCATTGCGTTCCTTGGGGGGTGCCTTGCTGGGCCGGCTGGTTTCCCAGTGTGTTCGAGGCCCAGCGCCCTCGGGGGGCCTCTGCCCCGGAGGCGGGTGCTGTGCTGAAGTCTGGTGGGGGTTTCTGGAACCAGGTCCCCACACCCCTCTAGCAGGCATGAGATGACCCTCAGTGATGTGGGAGCAGCCAGCAGCTTTCTTTCAAAATGTCTTTGAGCTAAATATTTGGGGTTCTCGCGCTGTGCTCTGGGGTGTCCTCAAATCCCGCTGCTGGCGCTGGCGCTGGCACCTGCTCCTGCACCTGGGGCTTCCAGCCTGCAGAGGGCGCAGTGACAGCAGCTGGGGAGCCTGTGTGACCCCCCTCTCTCCTTCCAGCACCCTGAAACTCTGGGACTACAGCAAAGGGAAGGTGAGCAGTGGAGAATGCCGGGCGGGGTGCGGAGGTGGGGGGGTGGGGGCGGGGTGCAGAGGCCTGGGGGGGGGCGAGGGGGGAGGTGTTGAGTAATGCTGAGCTGAGCTGGGGGCTCAGAGCCACCTTCATTGAGTTGGTTTGGTGCAAATTTCCCCACGACATGGGTGTTTGCTGCTGGCACGTCTGCTCTGAACACGTGGACTTGTGCTGCGGGCATTTGAGTGCTTTTCAGGGTGACGTTCGGTTAGCCTTAAAGGGCTGGCCCTCGGAATTCAGGGACTTGTCCAGGAGGTGGGCAGCGGGACTGACCGTGCCCGTGTCCTTTCAGTGCCTGAAGACTTACACCGGGCACAAGAACGAGAAATACTGCATCTTTGCCAACTTCTCCGTGACTGGGGGGAAGGTGAGTTCTGAGAGGCCCTGCCGAGGGGTGCTCAGGCGCTTTCTGTGCCCAAAACACACACAAACACCCGAAAACGGAGCCACACGCTGCATGTGGCAGCGGCTGTCATCAGAAAGGGGATGTTGTGACTCGGGTGCTCCTGGACTTGCCGGGCCTGTAAGTCAGACCTGGCACAGCTCCCGGGAGCGGCGGGCACAGGTGGGCGTCTGAGTGGTCACCTACAGGCCATGCTGCCCAGAGTGGGGCTGCAGAGAGCGGGGGCCGCCCAGAGCTGGCCCCAGGCCTGGCTGCCTCAGTCCAGGGGAATGGACTGAGGAGCTGGGACGTTCAGCTGAAACGTACGCGACACAAACTATAAGGTGGTGATTGGAGAAAACATTTTACATCCTCGAGGCTCGCTGTGTGCGGCTGTTTGAGTGGTGAGCGGGAGGGAAGGTCGGGGCTGTGGGAGCTCCCCTCACTCGGCCCTGTGTGCCCAGTGGATCGTGTCTGGCTCGGAAGACAACCTGGTGTACATCTGGAACCTGCAGACCAAGGAGATCGTGCAGAAGCTGCAGGGCCACACAGGTGAGCGGCGGCCCCGGAGGGCCTAGGCGAGGGAGGGAGGGCGGGCGTGACCCAGCCTGGTGCGGCCTCCTTGGGCCAGGCCAGCACCCCGGGGGCTGTCGCTGTGGGCAGCGCCCGAGGCTTGTCAGGGACGGGCTGTGTGAGTCCGTGGTCAGCGCTGGGGGGCCGCCCTGGGCTTGCCACAGGGAGGGCGCGTGTGGACAGTCTCTGGTTTGCAGACGTTGTCATCTCGACGGCGTGCCACCCGACAGAGAACATCATCGCCTCGGCCGCGCTGGAGAACGACAAGACCATCAAGCTCTGGAAGAGCGACTGCTAGGCCCGCACCGCGGCCGGGACGCTACCGACCGGCAGGGCCAGAGCCCGGGGTCTCCTGACCCAGGCTGGGGATGGGGGCGGGGCCTGGGCCCCTCTGAGGACCTTGTGGCCGAGGGGGGAGAGGTCTCACCAGAAAGTTCTAGAAGGTGACGTTCTTGCCAGTTCCTCTGGCTGGGAAGAGTTCCCAGTCTCTTGTGTTCCGTCAACAAGACTTCATTTTTGTTTCAGAAGGTGAGGCGGTTCAGTTTATCGCCGTGTTTCCCCAGGAAATGTTCTGTGCTGTTTTGATGTTTTATTCCCATGCCAGCGCTGTGACCCGTCACCTCTCGGCCTCTCTGCCAGTCTCTGCAGGTCCCAGTCATTCCCGTGTGGGTGTCGAACCCAGACCCTGTGAGGCTGCCTGGGAACCTGGGGCTCGGTGCTGGTGTGTGGTGCCCACGCAACATGCCGCCCCTCAGGCGGGACGCAGAGGGCCTGGGCCGCATGGCAGCGCCCGGCACCCTGTCCCTGTGTGAGGCAGGTGAGCGGACCTGTCCCGCACGGGCCCGCACTTTACACTGCGCGGGCGGGGAGAGCTCCGGGGGCTGGCTGCGGCGGAGCCCGCCCCCAACGTCCTGCTGAACGTTGCGGATGGCTCTTGGGGTGGCCCCTCAGTTCCCCGGCGCCGGCTCTTCTCCGAGGGACCTCTTGCCGGCTGAGGCCCGGCAGGCTTCTTGGAGGCCTCGGCGGCAGGGAGCCGGGTCTGTCATCCGCCCGCCTGGCCCAGGAGGAGTGGGCATGAGGCCAGGACTGCAGAGCAGTTTGTGGCAGTGGCTGGTTCCTGGGGACCCCTGATGTAGCAAGTGTCCCGTCCCCCCTCCCCACCCCAGTCTGCAGCACAGACTTCGGTGGAGGCGGGAGGGAGGTGCAGTCTCACTGAGGCTGGGTGAGCAGACGCTGACATCCATCCACAGCCTCGGTCTCAGCCCCTGCTCTCCTGAAGCTCAGGCCCTGGTTTTGGGGTTCGGGACGGTGCTAAGTGGTGATGGGCTGTGAGGAAGTGGGGGCCACCCTCAGGCCGCCTGGGAACCCCCTGGTGGCCACTGTGGCCCAGGGCGAGTATCACAGTTCTGAAGGCTTATGGGGCGGCAGTCACAGACCTCGTTGGAAGTACGGTGTTCGTGGCTTGTCTGTGGGGCACGGCCGCAGGGAGAGGGTGAGGGCTCGGGCCGGCCCGGCCCTGCCCTGCCCGGCTCGGAGCGTCCTGATTGGAGAGCTGAGGCTCCGGGGGCTTGGCTGGCGGATCCTAAGGGAGGTCCCTGAGGAGGGAGGTTGTTCCTTGTTTTGTTGCTTCTGGGGTCGGGTTGCCCCGGGAGGAGGGGTGTGTGCGGAGCACCGTATCCTGAATATAGTGTATTTTTTCTACATTGCAATTCTCTGTTGTAGATTTATGTAAAGACATTCACTTTTTGGAAATAAAGATTTTCATGTCTTGTATTTTTGTCCCCTGAGGATTTTTCACCTTCAAGTGTATCTGTTATGGGGTGGGGTTGCTGTGGGCCTATTGCAGCAGGGGCCTTGGGCGAGAGTCCATGGGTTTTAAAAACCAGCCTGTACACAGGGAGTGTGACAACCAGGGAGAGCCGAGACCCTCCCGCCCAGTCCTCCAGCTCCCGAGACGGCGCCTCTGCTGCCTGTGGCCCTCCCCTCTGCTGCAAGTCCCAGGGCTTTCATTCTCTAGGCAGCAAATACGTAGAATCTGTAAAAGGAATTTCTTTATAAAAAGCATGTTTTTATTGATTTTAGAGAGGAAGGAAGAGGGAGAGAGAAACATCAATTGGCTGCATCCTGCCGCTGCCCGCACTGTGGATGGAGCCTGCAAATCGAACTGAGACCTGGTTTACAGGGCAACACTAGTCAACAGCCAAATATCAACATTACGACGAAATGAAATTTGAGAGCCAAATTTTTTAAACTTATAGATACATTGCTATTAACTTAATTAGGGTCCTCCTCAGCTGGCCTTTGCAGAAAACTCAAGGGGCCAAAGAGCCGCTTATGGCTTGAGCGCCACAGTTTGCCGACCACTGCCTTAATATCATTAAAAAAGTATATATGTCCGCATGCTCCACAAAAACGAAAGCTAAAAAAGCTGACAGGTGTATACACACGTCTGTGTGTACATGTCAGAGTGCTCGTTCACAGGGTGTGAACTGCCCGGCTGAGGCCTGCCTGTGGGTGGTGGTTGATCTCCAGCTGCTCCGCGCCCCGCCCCTGACTAGGAGGCTAGGGCTCCCCTGCAGCCCCGAGGCTGTGCCTGGTTGCCCTGCCCCAGCTCCGCCCAGAAGCTCCATGGCTGGACTTGTTGCCACCAATTCAAAGAATTCAAATACCAACGGATACAGCAAAAAAAGCAACCAGAAGTACAGACACGTGTCTGTGTACACATGCTGAAGGGAATGTGCACATGGATTCAAAACGGGCAGGAGTGGTGGAAACCCACAGGGCAGCAGTCCTGTCCCCTGGGCAAGGCTTCGGCATCTCCGTAGGTGACACTTGTCCAACCCGCCGGGCTCCCTGCACAATGGCGGAGACACCAGAGGGCCTGCACGGAGGGCACCCGCTAGCCCTCGCTGGTGCGTGGGAAGGAGGGAGGTTTGAGGAAGACCGCCGAGGTGGTGAAGGCGCCCTGGCGTGCCCATGTCAGTGAAAACAAACAAACAAACAAAAAAAAACAGTGGTTAGATGCCACGAAGTAGGTGGCAATGCCTTAACCGTATGCGTGTTGTTAGGCCCGAGAGCCTCTTCCATCCTTGTCAAGGGGAGTGCTAACCTTCTCTCCTTTCATACAACACAACTGGGCTACGGCGCCGTTGGCTATTTAAAACCCTATATTCCTATCACTTTAAGGTTATGGTAACTTTATATACTGTCTCAGAGACACGAGAGAGAGCACTCACATCCTATAGGAACCACACCATCTACATTAAAACCGTGCAAATTCGTTTTAGCGTGTGGAAAAGCCTCTTTTTCGTACTCTAATATATGCATAAATACAGCCAATCAAAGGCCGCGAGGAACACCCGGAAGTCCCGTGTCTACAGCAAACTAGATTCCCCCGGAAACAAAACAGCAACAAGGCTCTCCAACGGTCGTGAACTGGCTCGGAACTCTCTGCGGAAATGGAAGTGGTTTGTAGCGAATCAGAGGACGAGGAAGGAAGCTCGGCTCCACGGACTTCCGGACGCAGCCCAGCGCTTGGAACTGTGGGTGCTCGAGGCGCTAGGACCAGAGGGACGTCGCCCGCCCGCGCTCCGCGCCCCCCCCCCCGGCTTCTGCGCATGCCCGGCGCTGCCTTAAGGTTGTGGGTTCGAGCCGCAGCCGGGTCAGTGTGCGCGCAGCAGGCCCTCGCTCCTCCCGCCCGCCCTTCCCTCGGGGCTTTAAGATGTAAATCCGGTGCCTCGGGTGCAGGCCGTCCTGTTGGGTAGGCGACGGACCGCAGGGCGCCCGCCCGCCTCCGCGCGAGCCGCGACCCATCCCCAGGCGGCGAGGCGGGGCGGGGCGGGGCCTCCGGACGGCTGCGGACGCGCGTCCCCGGGCGGCGTGCGTGTGCGTGCGTCCGGGAGACCTGCGAGTGCGCGCAGGACGTGCACGTGTGAGTGCACGTGTGCATGCATGTACATGTGCACACGTGCGGGCACGCCCACGCGTGCAGCATCCTGTGTCCACGCACAACTAGGTGTCCACCCACGTGTGCAGAGACAACACAGGGCGTGGGCCGCAGGTGGCGGGGCGGGCTGGGCGGACACTGGGAAGGTTCAGGGAGGCCCTTGAGAGAGGCAGCGGGCCCCTGGCTGCACGGGAGAGCGCCCCCCTTTGCAGAGCCTGTGGAGAGAATGGAGGTGAGAGGTTCCGGAGAGAAGTCCGGAGGGAACCCGGCAGGGCCTGAGGCCTGGCGCCCCCCGGGGAGAGGCTGTGACGGAGATGCGCCTGGAGCCTTCCTGAGCACCCACTGTGTGCCGAGGCCTCGGTCGCCCGCACAGGTGTCTCTGGCTTCACTCCCACATCCCGCGAGGCAGCGGCCCTCGGCACCCCCACTCTGCAGCTGAAGACAGAGAGGCCCAGGAGGTTGGTTAATTGTGCAAAATTACACTTCCGCTGGGGCAACAGGTGGATGTGAGCCCGGCTGTGGGCGAGGCCAGGGAGTCTTACTTGGGGGCCCCCAGAGCCTGGGCCCGGGGGTCTGGTCACAGGCGGGGTTCCATAGGGGTGCCGGGTCCCAGCGACGTCTCCTGCCCCGTGGCCTGGGCCTCCCCTTCCTCGGGGCTGCAGCTCCTGGCCCCCATGGGTTTGGACAGAAGGGCCGCTGGCTCCTAGGGGCCCAGACCAGGCCTCGCGAGCTTTAGGATAAAACCTGAGATCAAAATGCTGATTCCAGGCCCCTCCCTCGAGTCTGGGGTCTGCATTTAGGAACCCGTTTGCCCTCGCCCCACCTGGCAGCCTGCCCTTGCTCTGGGCACTTAGCAAGAATGACCAAGATGTGGGGAGCACCTGTAGGCTAAGGCAGAGGGCTGCACGGGGCTGGAGGGCCAGGCGGGGGACCCGAGGGTGGGCCCCTCCCCGGGTGGGGTCCACTGACCCGTGTGACCGCCAGGATGCGGAGCCAGCAGACCCTGCCCCTTCGCCGTGGCCTTGGCAGAGCCTGTGGGCGCTGGGCTGAATGAACGCGGGTCGGAGCCCTGGGCCCTGGGGCTGCGTCCTGGGCAGGAGGCCGGTGGGCAAGCAGAGTGACCACCTGTGGGGCGCTCACCAGCATTGGAGCTCCTGGGACTGCACGTCTCCTTCCTCTGGCTGTCCCAGACGCCCCGCATGAAGTCAGAGCAGTTCCGGAGTGAGAGAAGGCGCAGGAACAGCAGGCACAGGACGGAAAACTTGCCCAAGAGAGGACTTGACAGTGTTGGGGGTGACGACTCAGAGGGTGGAAGTGGGGTGGTGGGTTCTGGTTGAAGCCCCAGGCCTGTCCCCTCGAGGTTCAGGGTAGAGTTGCTCGGTGCAGGACAGGACGCCCCGCTACACTGAAACCTCAGATCCACAGCAAATAGGGGATGGCCCCTATGGGCGCGGCCACGGTGTCTGGGCAGGTTCGAGCCTCGGGCTGATGAGGGCACAGTCCTCCTGGCCACGTGCAAGACCCAGCGTGGAGGGCAGAGCTCCCAGCACCGTGATGGCCACCAGCTGTGGTTGTGAGCGTGAACCTGTGTTCTGAACACGTGGCCCTGCTGCCTGAGTGACGTGGGCTGGATAGAGCTCAGGTGCGTGTAATTGAATAGGATCAAAACCCATGAGGATGCTGTAAGCACCTTGGCCACGCCCTCACTGTGCCGCGTGGCATCTGCTATTAAAGACACGGCTGTGGTCTGCATCAGAGAGGACAGTGTCCCACTCAGACCCAGCTCCGTTCTCTGTCTCTTCTCCGTCCTTCGCCGCCCCCTCAGGGTGACCCTTGGCCATGCTGCCATGGCACAGTCCCCAATATTTTATGAGACGTAACTTCCACTAAAACAATGGTCGGCAAACGGCGAGCCACATGTGGCTCTTCCACAAAATACCATGGCCTGGGCGAGTCTATTTTGAAGAAGTGGCGTTAAAGTTTAAGTTTAAAAAATTTGTCTCTCCAAAGAAATTTCAGTCGTTGTGCTGTTGGTATTTGGCTCTGTTGACCAATGCATTTGCCAACCACGGGCTGATGGGTAGGAGGGCTGGAGGAAAAAAGTTTAGGAGGGGAAAGAGGGATGGAAGGGAAGGGAATGAAGGGAGAGGAGGAAGGCGGAATGGCGAACCCGGACCAGCCAGCCCCTCGCTGACCCCTGTGCAGCCTCTGGGTGCAGCCCCAGCCCAGTCCCTCCGCCTCCTGCCCGCCCGGCTGTGAGCCGCCCGCGGGCGTGTGGAGTGGGACTGCCCGGTGATCCGGGCATGGGGAGCAGAGAGCCCGTGCCCACCCGCCCCAGGCCCGCTGGCTTCGGAGGGCTTCCCGGACCCTGACAGCGTCTGCGGGGCCGGAGAGATGCCAGCGTTGGGGCTCAGCTGCCCGGAAGCCGCGGCCATGTGGGCCCTGCATGTGGGCATTTCCCTCCCCAGCCGCGGGCCTTCCCTCCGCACCCCGGTTCTCGGCCGCTGGGAGGAAGGGTCGCGCGGCAGGTGGGGCTGCGGGACCCCGAACGCTAGGGACTCGGTGGTGGGTTAGAGCTGATCTTGTCAGGAGTCTCCAGGACACACGGCTGGCAGTGCCATGGCTGCGTGGGTGGGGTGGGCGGCAGTTGGGGAGCCGGCCCCCCTGCTCTCCGGCTCACAGGCCTGCCTGTCGGCCCGAGGACCTTCCCAGGTCCAGGGAGGCGAGGGGGACAGGCCTGGAACAGTGACAGGCCCCGAGGGCTCAGAGCTTCTTCTGGAGCGGAAGCCGGTGGTCAGGACCCTCCTGGGCTGTGGCAGCTTCAGAGTGACTGCCGGGCCCAGAGGGTCAGCCTCAAGGCCACTGCAAAGGCACAGGCAGACCAGGGCCCTGTGGATGCCCTGCCGCCACCCCGTCCGCTGCCCTGGGGGTGGTGGGGGAGTGGGCATCCCCCCAGCCCGGGGCTCCTCTGGGGTGGGGAACACGCCCTTCCCCGGCGCCACGCTGGGCAATTCCAGGAGCGTCCAGCAGGGGGCGGCGTTGCACCTCAGGTGGAGGAACCAGCCTGGGCATGGGGTGGGGTCCTGCGGCATCTCCCCAGCTCTAAGCCTCGGACCGGACGGCCCACCTTCTCAGCTTGCAGCCTGGCGTGTCTTCGGCCTCGGGAGCGTTGCCTGCCAGCGGGTGCCTCGGATCCCTCCCATGGCCCAGCTCAGCCCGGTTGGCTGTTATTGTCCCATTTTCCAGACGGAGAGACTGAGGCTCAGGACTTTGGCAGGATGCCTGGAGGGGGCACCCCAGGCGCAGCAGGCTCTGGGGTTTGGGGCCAGGGCTCCAGTTTCCAGAGGCCCCAGGAGGCGCTGGGAGGTGGGGGCGGGCAGCCACGGGGGCCGGGCGGGTGGTCCTGAGGGGTGGATGCACCCAGAGTCTCCAGGGTCCTTCTTTCCAAGGCCAGTTTTCCTCTGTTACACCGGAGCCCCGGGCCATTTGCGCCCGCGCGCGCGCTCGCCTCCCCTCCCGCCCCCCAGCACGGTGCTTGCACCTCTGCAACGGGCATGGTGCCTGTTACCGGCCCCCGGTCCCGGGCCTGACCGGTGCTGGCGCTGTGCCGAGTGACCCAGGTGCACGGGGACGCCCCGGAGCCGTGCCGCCCATCCCAGGTCCCGCAGGGTCTCCGGCGCTGCTGTGCAGGGAGCCGGGCAGGCCCAGAGGAGGCTGTCTGGTGACTGACATTCCCGATGTTTCTGTGGCCACGGGCTCAGGTGGGCTAAGCAGGGGTTTCTGGTGACGGTGACCCAGCCTTCCTAAGGGTGGACGGCGCTCCGGTACAGAGTGCAAAGGGGGAGGGGGAAGGAGAGTGAGGCAGGGGAGGGGGGAGGGGGAGGAGGGCACCGGAGTTTGAAGCTTGCTCCCCCCCCCCCCCCCCCCGTGTCCTGCGGGCTGGGAGATGAGGTCCCGTTACTCCCGAGGGTCCCCCTGGGGGCCGTCCCTGGGTCACTGGCCGAGCCCGCAGGGAGGGCGCTGACCGCAGGGGAGAGGCCTCCGGCCGAGGGGCTGCTATTAATAAGTGACCGCTGGCCCTGGACGTGCAGGGGGCGGGGGCGCCGCGTTCCCAGGGCTGGCGCTTGGCCCGGGCCGCCCCTGCCTGACCAGCAGCCTCTGAGCGGTCCTGGGCCCCGCGGCCCGCGGGCAGGAAGCGCTGGGGCCGCGCGGGCCGCCCTCCTTTGGGATGTAAATATCCGGCCGCCCTGCAGCGGCTGCGGGCCTGGGGGGGCCCCAGTCACCCCGCCAGCAGCCGCCGTCACCCAGAACTTCCCGGGGCTGCTGGGGGCACGGGCAGAGCGCCCTCCTGCCGTTTGGGGCCGGGCAGGCGGGGCGGGCGTCCACCCCCTTCCCGGAGCCTGGCCGTGGCCGCAGAGACGGGCCGTGGCCAGGGCCAGGTGGCGTGCTTGTGGCGGCCTTGAGCCTCGGGCTCCAGGAGCGGGGACAGATGATGGAGGAGGCCACCCCAGGCTGGCAAGCCTCGTACCGGTCCTGGCTGGCTGTGCTGCATCCCCGTCCACACACACCCGGCCTCGAGGTGGACGGCTCACACCGGGCTGCCTGCTCCTGGGCCTCAGCTCGCTCTTTCCACCGGACAGAGGAGAATCCGAGGTTCAGAGTGGACCCCAGCTAGACAGCACGGGGAGGGGTGTGAAGGCAGCTCGGGGCCAGGCGTCCGTCCAGAGCCGCCCCTCCACTCCGGGTCCGGGACACCCCCCCGGGCACCCCAAGGCCAGCATTACCCAAACTCCGGCCCCTCGGCACCTCGGGGCAGCACCAGCGGCCCCAAGAGCCAGAGAGGGGCAGCCCTGAGTGGGGGGCGGGACATGAGCCCGGAAGTGAGCGTGGCTCCTCGCTCCCACCTGCTGCCCTGCACCGCCAGGCAGGCCTCTGGGGGCCTCGGGGCCTGGCTCCCCCCACCTGTGGAATGGGGTAGACACAGCCCACCTTGCAGACACACAGGAAGACCTCGCCACACGGCCGGCGTTGAAGACACACTGTGTGCGTTGCCCTGTGTCAGCCCCCGTGACAGGCACCTGGCCCGGCCTCTGCCCGGAGCCTGGGGCTGGAGCCGGCATGAGCAGGGCTCCTGGCCTGGAAGGGACCCCGCAGGAGCCTGGGGGGGGCGGGTGATGGCTGGAGGGGCAGCTGGCCTGTGTGCAGGGCCCGCAGCTGCCCCTTCGAGGCCTGGCTGGAGTGCCTCTACATGTCCACTGGGACCTCTGGGGCGGGGCACTGGGTCACCCCGCTCCTCACCCTTTCTGCCTCCATGGGGCTCTGGGACCCCCCACCAGGACCCCGGTCTCGGCGCTGCCGTCCTCCCTGGGTGTCCGAGTGCCAACAGACCCCAGGCTGCCCTGCGAGCCTGCACTGGGTGTCTGTGGGCACCCCCAGCTAAGCATGTCCTACACTGGGCCGCCCCTGCCCGCTGCCCCCAAACCAGTTCCCCCACTGCCCTGGCTCAGAGTGGGGAGTCAGGGAGGGGAGAGCCAGGCCGGCCCAGCTGTGGAGCCAGGTCACACTTGCCAGCCAGGTCGCAGCTGGGGGCCAGGTGGGGGAGGGCTGATGCTCAGAGGGCTCAGCAAGCACCTCTCCCCCAATCTCGTGTTCCTTTGGGGTCCTGGACAGGCACAGGGCAGTGCCGGGCTGGCCTCCGGTCGGTGCTGGGGCGTCCGGGAGGACAGGTGCGGCTGAGGCCGCCTCCTTCCCAGCGGGGACCTGGGAGCAGCGCGTGGCCTGGCCGCCTGTGCCCGCCTGTGCCGCCCGCCCGCCCGCCCGCCCGCCCTCGGGGGCCGGGTCCTGCCTGGGGTGGGCGGGGCCACCCGGTGCTGGGTCCGGAAGGTTGGGCTTCGGTTCCCTGGTGAGGGGGTCACCGGCGGGTCCCCAGGCCCCTGTGTAACTGAGCTGGGGCCGCCGGCCGCCCTGGGGGCCAGGTCACAGCTGCGCTCCAGTTTCACCCTCAGGGATGGGGCAGGCAGGTTGGGTGTCACCCCCACGGTGAGAGGCCCCGGGGTGGGGGCCCCGAGGTGGTTCGCAGACACGGGGTGGGCCTGGCTGGGCCCCAGGAGCTGTGGGAAGGCGGTGCGTTTCAGTGTCTAGTTTCCATGAAAAAAGATCCAACGTTCAGCCCTAGCTGGTGTTGTTCAGTGGATAGGGCGTCGGCCTGGGAACAGAAGGGTCCCAGGTTCGATTCCAATCCAGGGCATGTACCTCCGCTGCAGGCTCCTCCCCGGCTGGGCCCTGGTCAGGGCGCATGCAAGAGGCAACCAATTGACATGTTTCTCCCACATCCATGTTTCTCTGTCTCCCCCTCCCCCTCCCACTCCCTAACAGTCAACGAAGAAGCATCCCCGGCTGAGGATCAACAGCAGCAACGAAAAGCCTCTTCCTGTGAAATTCCGCTGACTTCTCGGCCCAGATTCTCTTCCCCGCTCCCCTCTCCCAGTGTCTGGGGACAGCCCCTCCCCCTGGAGGGGACAGGCCAGCACGTGAACCCCTAGGCAGGCGGATCCCAGGCCAGTGCACCCCTATCTGGCCTGGGTCTCCCCAAAGGCAGGCGAGGACGAGGGTGCCTCCTGCCCAGCGGGGTGAGGCCATGCCGCCCCGTGGATGTCTCTCTTCAGACCCACTTCACAGATGGGGAAGGTGAGGCCAGAACAGGGGAGACACCCGGATGGACCGGAACCCTCCCTCTCCTGCTGAGGGGTCTCCGCCCGCTGTCCTGAGCCTGCCTCCTGCGTGGGGTCAGGTGCCGGGCCCGGGGCCCGGGGGCACGGGTCCCGCAGTGGGTGCTGGTTGGTGGTGAGGAGAGCGTGGGCGAGGGCCGAGTGCGGGTGCTATTGGGATTTTCCCGGGGGCCAGGGGCTGGGCGGAGGGCTGTCAGTGGGCTCTGGTGAGCCCCCCCCCCCCATGTAGAACATGTCAGCCACCAGGATGTGGTCAGGCGGCCACGGCCCCACGGATGCCCGGCCGTGGGCCTGACTCCTGGGCTCCCACCGCCCCCGGTGGCCTCCGGCCTCAGTGTTCCGTCTGTGAAGTGGGCCTGCCCTCCCACCTCATCTGCCCTCCGACAGCCCCTGAGCCCGGGCCCTGTGTGGCGGCACCAGGCGGCGTGCCCAGGGCGGGTGCCAGGCTCCTCCCGCCGGCCCCGCCAGCAGCCGGCAGCTCTGGGCCGGTGCCCAGGGCTTTCCATCGGCGGGGCCTGGCTGGGGGCCAGCGGGGGCCCAGCGGGGGCTCTGGCCCTCACCCCACAGCTGCCACACTCAGAGCCCGGCCCTGCCCACACCAGCCCCGGGCCCGCGGGGTCCTCCCAGGAGGCACGGGACCCACCGAGGGGGCAGTGGGAGGGGGGCAGCGTGAGGCAGGGAGTCCCCGGCCTCCGGCGTCCTCCGGGGGGACCGGCAGAGCCGGCCCTGGAGTGCGGAGCCCTGGCCCCCAGCAGCGCTGGGCGCTGAGCGAGGAGGAAGTGAGGGGCCCCGCACCCCGAGGCTGGGCGGTGGGGACAGAGCCGGCCCACCTGGAAAGCTCTCAGGCTCTGAGCGTGTGACCCCCACCCTCCGTCATCCGTGCGGCATCTTGGAGCCCGCGGGCGCGAGATGGATGAGCGCAAACAGCCATTTCCCGGCGGCGGCAGCGGCGCTCTGCAAACAGGCCTCCTCCCCCACCGGACTGCCGCTGCCCCCGCCGGCTGAGCACCCGCTGGGGACGAGATTTGTTACCCAGCGCAGGGCCGCCTCCTCTGGGGCTGCTGGAGAGGGGGCGGAGGGGGAGGAGGGGGCGTGAGGGGAGGGGCAGGGAGGGGGAATGGAGATGGGCGGCCGGGCGGGAGGAGGCAAAAGAGGGGAAACCAGTGACGGAGGGGCCCCTCACAGCCCGTGGGGAGGGCGATCCATGTTCCGGCCGTCGGGCGTCGGTGGGAAGGGCAGCTGGCCTCGTGGCCGTGGCCGTGGCCGTGGGGAAAGGGCAGCTGGCCTCGTGGCCGTGGCCGTGGGGAAAGGGCAGCTGGCCTCGTGGCCGTGGCCGTGGGGAAGGGCAGCTGGCCTCGTGGCCGTGGCCGTGGGGAAAGGGCAGCTGGCCTCGTGGCGGTGGCCGTGGGGGCCGCACCTTGGGCAGGGCTGCTCCCTCCTGCCATCCGGTGCAGAGGCCCGGGAGCCGGGCAGGCGGGCCCAGCGGGCACAGGACGGGGCGGGCGCTGGGCAGTCGGGCCGGAGCAGGGAGACAGGACGCTGGGACAGGCACAGGGACAGGGCCCCTGTGGCCGATGCTCTATCCACTGGGCCACACCAGCTAGGCGACGGCAGTTTATGACGTTGAACACATCTTGGTGCCCAGCCGCCCGGCCTTGGCTTGTCTCCTTTTATAGACGTGTGTCCTGGCCCCCAAGACCCAGGCCCCGGACCAGCAAGCCTCTGGGGGTGCCAGAGCCCAACACCCCCCCCCCCCAAGCCTGCGCCGTGTGCCCCACCCTCGGCTTCCGTGGGTCCCCTGGGGACGGTTATGGTGTATCCATCAGGCTCAGTCCCACCCTGGGCCCTGCCCCCCCCCCCCCCGCGTTGTATTTGGGCCGCTGGCCCCAGGCAGTGGAGGTGACAGTGTGCCCGCCTGTCTGGCCATCTGACTCGGCCTCGCCAGCCCCGAGTGGACAAGGCGGCCGCTCCCTGAGCTCCCAGGCCTTGGGGAAGAGTTTCGGAAACCCGGCCGCTTCCTGCTGTGAATGTGCAGGGGGTGGGGGTGTGTGTGGGGCACGCAGGCGGACGGGCTTCAGTCCGGTTCCCGCGCCCTCTGCACAGGTAGGCACGTGGGCATTCCACCACGTGCGCACTCCTTCTGCGGGGGAGGCAGGCCAGGATGGAGACGAGGTCGGCTTCTCTAACTGGGAGCCGCCTCCTTTTACAAATAATATTTTTATAGCTCTGGCTGGTGTGGCACCGTGGATAGAGCGTCGGCCTGGGGACTGAAGGGTCTCGGGTTTGATTCTGGTCAAGGGCATGGACCTCGGCGGCAGGCTCCTCCCTGGCTCTGGCGGGGGCGGGGGTGGAGGCAACCAATCAATGGGTCTCTCTCACATCCATGTTTTTCTTTCCCTCTCCCATTCTCTCTAAAAATCAATGGGAAAATATCCTTGGGTGAGGATTAAAAAATATATACATATTTTTATTGATTTCAGAAAGGAAGCAGAGCCAAAACCGGTTTGGCTCAGTGGATAGAACGTCGGCTTGCAGACTGAAAGTCCCCAGGTTCTCTTCTGGTCAAGGGCATGTACCTTGGTTGTGAGCACATCCCCAGTGGGGGGTGTGCAGGGGGCAGCTGATCAGTGTTTCTCTCTCATCAATGTTTCTAACTCTCTATCCCTCTCTCTTCTTCTCTGTAAAAAAAAAATCAATAAAATATATTTAAAAAGAAAGAAAAGAAAGAGAGGGAGAGAGAGAAACATCAGTGAGAGAGACTGACTGACTGGCTGCCTCCTGCACCCCCCCCCCCCCCATGGGAATCCAGCCTGGAACCCTGCGTGTGCCCTGGCGGGGACCCGAGCGGGACTCCTGGGTCACAGGTGGAGGCTCAGCCCTGAGCGCCGGCCGGGCCGATGGGAGCCTTCTCCCTGCCCCCTGCCCCCTGCCCCCTGCCCCCTGCCCCCTGCCCCGGGCACCTCACCCACCAGGGCCAGCATAGACACAGTCCCGGGTCCGGGTCGCCCTCCCACGCTCCCCTGGCACCTGCCTCTGCCTCGGGTGCCCTGGGGCTTCCTGTCCGCCCTGGACGGTCAGCCCCAAGGCCGTGGCCGTTGTCCTGAGGCCAGCCCCGGTGCCAGGCCCCCTGAGGAGCCGGACTCCCCAAATGGACGATTCTGTTCCCTTTCGCCCGCGCTGGGCCTCTGGCCACACAAGCTCCCTCCCCGGCCCCCAAGGGAGAGGGAATGCGGCCTGGCCTGCGAGGCCTCCCTGCGAGGCCCAGCTGACTTCCTGTGGAAGGTCCAGTTCACGGAATCTGAGAAACCTCTGTTCGGAGGGCGGGACTCACCCCCTGACGCCTCCCCCTCGCATCCCTCCCGGGAGCAGGCGATGGCGCCCCCCGACCGAGGGGCCAGGAGGGCCCCCTGGAGGGGCTGTGCCTCGCCCCCCACCCTCTTCTGGGAAGTTCTGTGCCTTCCTCCCCGCAGGGCGTCTGAGAGACAGCGTGTGGGGTTGCCCGGGGTGCCCTCCCAGAGCCGGGCGGGTGGCAGGCACCCCGGAATCCCCGCCACCGGCCGGAGCCCCCTCCGCCCGGAGCGCCCGGAGCACCGCGTGTACCTTGCGCTCCTCCCGGCAGACGCATTATTTAGGGACGGGAATAAAAAGCCATTCACTTTGCGTCAATTGGCCATTTAGTTCAATTTGCGTGTTCCTGCAGGTAATTACCCCGGAGTAACGCGCCGTCATGCGCCCGCGCCGCTAATTGCCCGCGTCGCCATGGTGACCGCGGGACGCCGCGCCGCCGCCGCCCTGGAAACGGCGCTGAATGGGGCTTTGTGCGCCGCCGGAGCCCGCGAACAGCGTGAGGTCACCGCCGCCCGTTGCCGGGGAGCTGATCGCCCATCGGCAGAAACGGGACCTCTCCCCGCGCCAGGGCCCCGCCGCCCAAACGTTGTCGGCGTTGCTAGGCAACCCCGGGATGACGTCACTCCCAGGGCCCCGCGGCCGCGGTGTCATCGCTGCCTATTGATGCACCGCGGCGGGGAGGGGAGGGTGCCCTGGAGGGAGGGGTCTGAGGGGTGGGGAGGGCTGCGGGCGCCTGGTGGCCCTCCCAGTGGCAGGTTTATTGCCACCAGGTCAGGCTAATGGGTCCAAAGGAAGAGGGACGTGGCCCAGCGCATGTCTGAGAGCGTGCCCGGCCTCAGGGAGGCGGTCCAGTGGCAAAGCCCCCCGGGCGAGGCCCTGGCCGGTGCCGCTCAGTGGTTAGGGCATCGGACTGCGCACAGAAGGGTCTCGGGTTGGATCCCCCGTCAAGGGCACACCCCTGGGTGGCAGGTTTGCTCCCCACCCCGAGTCAGGGTGTGTACGAGAGGCAACCAATTTGTGTGTCTCTCTCACATTTTTGTTTCTCTTTCCCTGCCTCCCTTCCATCTCTCTAAAAAGCAATGGAGCCCTAACTGGTGTGGCTCAGCGGATAGAGCGTCGGCCTGCACTGAAGGGTCCCAGGTTCATTCCGGTCAAGGGCATGTACCTTGGTTGCGGGCACATCCCCTCTAGGAGGTGTGCAGGAGGCAGCTGATCGATATTTCTCTCTCATCGATGTCTCTAACTCTCTATCCCTCTCTCTTCCTCTCTGTAAAACATCAATAAAATGTATTAAAAAATAATAAAAAGCAACGGAAGGAGGGGGTGAGTGGGGGAAAGAAGGGGACAGACATAGGTAATACTTTCAACAACAAAGGTTTTTTAAAAGACAAAGAGCCCTGGGAGAAATGCCCTCAGGAGGATTACGTATGCCCTGCTCTGCCGCCCTGCCACCCAGAACGGAAACCCTGGCACCAGCGGTTTCTGTCTGCTCACGCCCAGGCCACAGGGAGCTGCTGAGTGGACGGCAAACCGACGGCCAGGCAGTCCGGGGGCTCAGGGGCCGAGCGCAGGCTGCTGGCTTCTTTTCTTTACTTTCTTTTTTTAAATCCTCACCTGAGGCTGTTTTCCATTGACTTTTAAGGAGAGTGGAGGAGCGAGGGAGAGACAGAGAGAAACACCCAGGTGAGGGAAGCACCTCCATGGGCTGCCTCCTGCACACGCCCCGCCCGAGCCTGCAGCCAGGATGGCAGGCGGGCTCTCTGTCCACTGAGCCAAACCGGCCAGGACTCTTTCCTTTTTAAAAATGTATTTTCATTGATTTCAGAGAGGACGGGAGAGGGAGGGAGGGAGGGAGAGAAACATCAAGGACGAGAATCATCGATCGGCTGTGATGAGAGCACTGCCAGCGTGGCCTCCTGGGTCCACGCTCAGGGAGGTGCCCGGCCGCCTGGCCTGTCTGGCATCTGACCGTGGGGCGGGCCCCTCCTCTCTCCCACCTCAGCTTCTCTGCTCAGTGAGCCCCCGCCCGCTCCCACGCTGCGGCCAGAACGCCCTCCCAGGGCCGCCCTGGTCCTCGGAGGAGGTCGGGCCAGCCTCCCCCATCCAGCCGGCGAGGGGTCCCCAGGAGACAGACTCGGGAAGATCTGTGGCCAGGGTGTCGTTAGGGGGCCCTGCTGCTAACACGGCCCCTGGCCGGTCCCGGGAAGTGGGGCGCCGGGGGAGGGGCCCTGGCTGGCGTGGCCGTGGCCCTGACGGTGGCCCTGGAGCTGTGGTGCCCACGGTGCCCACAGCTCCCCAGGTCTCTGCGCCATCACAGGCCTTTGGCAGCGAGAAGGAGGCTCCCTGTGGGTGTGGGAGCCGAGCCGCCCTCCCGGTGTCTGTCATCACTGCAGCGCCCACGGACGCATTGCAATCGACAGCCACGGGCCCACGCGCTTCGGGAGGCGGGGGGAGGGCAGGTGAGGGCTGGCTCTCCACGCCCCTTTGTCTCCCCCAGACGCGCCTGAGGCTCCGCGCCAGCTCTCTCCTAACACCCGCTTGGGTAATGGTTTGGCAAGGACAGGCCTGGCACAGGGTGGCTGTAAGCGGGGCACAGGTCCCTGGAACCCTGCTTCGCGGCCCACAGGACGGGATGTTCCTCCCCAGCTCCCGCGGCGTGGCCTCTGGCGTGGCCTCTGGCGTGGCCAGCCCGTCCTCTGGGACCCCCCCAGGCACTGCTGGCCATGCCCGAGCCAAGCTGTCCCGCTCACGGGAGGCCCTGGGCCCCGGCCGTTGTCCTTCCCACCGCAAACCGGCCCCACCGCCGCCCCGCGGGGCCTCCCTGGTGTGGGGGAGGGGAGGCCGGTGGCGGGCAGGGGGTCTGGGCAGTTTTTGGCTTCAGGAACGTGGGGGGCGGGAGGGGGACGGGCCCACGCGATGACGTTACTGATCACAGCTCTCCATCTCGGGGACTGTCCAGGGTCAGGCGTGGTACCCACTGTCCCATCCTCTTGTCGCACAGAAACACAAACCATGACCTGGGGCAGGCCCCCATTTTACAGGCCAGGAAACTGAGGCTCAGCGGGGTGACACCACCTGGGGGCTGGCCTTCAGCAGAGCCGGGCTCCGGCTCTGACTCAGGAGGTGGCTTGGGGGACAGGCCGTGGAGGGGCATCGGGAGGGAGCGGTCCTGCCCGGCCTGGTCAGAGAGGGCCCTTGGTCTGAGAGAGGGCCCTTGTCATGATGACAACCCCTCGGGCTCTGTCCCTGTTTCTCCGTCGCCCTTCCCCCTCACAGGTTGGGCAGGATGCCCAGGGGGGGTTCTGTCAGTCTCTAAGGGGTCCCCAGGCTCCACGGCGAGGGGTCCTCCGTGGCGTGGCCCGTGGGGGGGCAGGTGGCCCGCAGCCAGTGGTGACGGACGGACGGACAGACGGACGTGGGGCGCCACACAGAGCCCTCCCCCAGCCCCAGCCATCTCCTCACTCCTGATTTTTCTTTTCTTTTTCCCCCTGATTTTTCATTAAAACGGCCACGGGCTCTGAGCTGCCCAAGGTCACGGAGGGGCTGCGAGGGGAGCGGAATGCGGCCATTACGCCGCCTCTAATGTCCCCGCGGCCGCGCGGGCCCGGCACCATCAAGCACCGGGACATCCAATTCCCGCCTGTCCCGGCTCCTATTAGGCTGAGTGATCTCCAGCAGCGGCGGCGAGGGGGCCGCGCAGCCACAGCGGCCTGAGCCACGGCCTCCCCAGGACACGGGCCTTGCACACACGGGGCTGAGAAACGGCTGCGCCCAGGCCACGGCCCCACGCCCCTCGACCAGCGCCGTGTCCGGGGTCTGGTCCCAGGGAGCGTCCCCTGGACCACATCGCCAACACGAATGCCCTCCTATTAGAGTAATTCTTTTTCTTTTTTAAAAATATATTTTATTGATTTTACACAGAGAGGAATTGAGAGGGATAGACAGTTAGAAATGTCGATGAGACAGAAACATCGACCAGCTGCCTCATGCACCCCCCTGCCCCCCTCCCCTCCGCACTGGGGATGTGCCCGCAACCAAGGTACGTGCCCTTGACTGGAATCGAACCCAGGACCTTTCAGTCCGCAGGCCGGCGCTCTATCCACTGAGCCACACCGGTTTTGGCCTGTTAGAGTGATTCTGACGGCGGCCACATCACACACGGGGAGGCTCACCCTGTAACTGCAGGGCGCTGGCGTCCAGCACGTTCGCCGCGTTGTGCAACCGCCGCCTCCATCCGGCTCCCGAGCGTTTCCTCACCGGAGGAAACCCTATCCCCCTCCTCCGCCCTGGCAGCCCGGCCGCCCCGCCGCCGCCGCCAATCTCCGTCTCTGGGGACCGGCGCGTTCTGCTTAGTCCGCACGCTGGACGCAGGCCCGACGTGACCTTCCAGGCCTGGCTCCTCCGCTCCGCGGTGCTTTCGGGGTTCACCTCGCCCCACCCCATAGCCCATGTCCCCTCTGCACTCCTCACGGGCGAGCGACCTCCACGTGTGGATGGCCACGTGGCTCGCCCACGTCAGCTGGGGGCCCGGGGGCCGGCCCGCCTCCTGGTGGGCCTGTGTGAACGGAGCTGGGTGAACATGGGTGCGCGAGGGCCTGTGGGTGCTTCCCTGCCAGCCTCCTGCCGTGCAGAGGGGGTGTGGCGGGTGTTGGGGTCATCTGCGCTGACCTTTCTGGACGACCCCCCGCACTGGTTTCCTCCTCTCTGACCCCCTGTCCTAAGCACCAGCCGCCGGCATCCGCAGGCGGTTCCTCTCACCCTCACGGCGCCTGCGTGACCCACGGGGAGATTCAGTCTCGGGGTGTGTGTGAGTGTGTGTGTGTGTGTGGTGGCGACACTGATGTACGTGTGCAGCCAGACTGCCTCCTGGGCCCAGATGCTGCTGCTGCTGTTTTAATATATATAAAATATATTTTATTGATTTTTCACAGAGAGGAAGGGAGAGAAATAAAGAGCTAGAAACATCGATGAGAGAGAGACATTGACCAGCTGCTCCCTGCACACCCCCCACTGGGGACGTGCCCACAACCAAGGTACATACCCTTGACTGAAATCGAACTGGGACCTTTCAGTCCGCAGGCCGATGCTCTATCCACTGGGCCACACCGGTTTCGGTTTAAAAAAAAACTGCTACTGTTTTAAAAAAATATTTTTATTGGTTTCAGAGAGGAAAGGAGAGGGAGAGAGAGAAACATCAATGATGAGAGAGAAGCATGGGTCGGCTGCCTCCTGCACGCCCCGGGCATGTGCCCCGATGGGGAATCGGGCTGTGACCTCCTGGTTCAGGGGTTGATGCTCAACCACTGAGCCACGCTGGCCAGTCGGGCCGCACGGGGTTCTGAATCTGCCGTCCCTGAACCCCAGCCGATGGCCGCGGCCTCCCGGAGCCCGTCTGCCTGGGAGCAGGGCTCCGTTCCTGTTCTAGTAGCTTCCGAGGACGAGCTCCTCGCCGGCCATGACCTTGTGGCCTTCTTCTCTGTGGCTCCCCCTCCCGCACCATGCACACAGTGGGTGCTTTACGAATCCCCAGGTGGTGACTCTAATGGGCCCCGGCGGTTTTGGGTGGATCCCAGGGCGCGGTCACGGCTCTGAGAGGCTGGCAGCTCCTCGGGTCGGTTGGTCGGTCGGTCGCCGGAGGGGCGCCGGGCCCCTGGGCGCAGCAGGACGGCGGGTGGGTCAGCGGGGCAGCGAGCCTCCTGCGGGCTTCAAGGGACAGCATGCTTTGGCGCAGAGGCTGCTGCCGGAGAGCACGGACCGCTCACCTTTGCTGGAAAAACAGATCTTTCTCTCCTCTCCTCCATCCCGAGCAGATGTTAGCTTTCCCATATGCAGGGGGAGAAATGGACGAGACATTTAGCAAACGGCGTGCGGGCCGAGCCATCGCTGATTTCAACGGGGCCCATAAAATTTTATGAGCTATTAAATCGTCCGCAAGCGCCTTTACCATACCACACGAGGCCTGCGATGGCCCATTACGGAGAAGTGGGTGACACGGGCCTCGCCCCCCTCAGTGTGTCCAATCAATACCACGCTAACCGGCCCTGCGCCCTCGGCGGCGGCCAGGGTTGCCCTGCGGGCCGGCCGGCCGGCCGGGGGGTCCTTGAGCATCCTGGAGCCTGACGGCAGGGCTCTCAGCGAGGGCGGGTCCCCTCGGCGGAGCCTTCCAGAGCTTCTGCGTCCTGCCTGGGGTTCCCTGATCATGGGCTGGAATGGGGGCCCGGAGACGGGCATTGTCGCAGGGACGCCCACCCGGCGGCAGTGCCTGGGCCGGAGCGTGGGGGCTGGACCCCCTGAGGGGGGCGTGGGCTGCAGCCAGGGAGTGGGCACAGGCAGGATGAGGGGCACAGGCAGGGCGTGGTCCCTGAAGCCGGGGAAGGGACCCCTTGACAAGGAGGACAGTGCCAAGTGGGTGGCACCCATGTCCTCCCTGCAGCTCAGAGGCCGTGAGCCCTCCCGCTGTGTGGACAGGAGCCCGGGCTCCCAAAGGCGAGCTCGCGCCCCGCCAGGGAGGTCCCGAGGTGAGAAGGGAGACGAGTCCCTTAGCCACCGCCACCCGGCCTGTGCCGCCTCCTGTCCTGCCCGCAGGCCGGCCGGGGCCCGCTCACCTGGCTTTCCACCCCGACCAGCGGCCGCTGTCCTCACTCCTTAGGTGCTCAGGGGCCCGGGGGGTGGGGAGGGCCTGCCAGCCGAGGGGGACCTGGCAGCCATGGCGGGGGCAGCCATGGGGGAGCAGCCACGGGGGGAGCAGCCACGGGGGGGAGCAGCCATAGGGGGGGAGCAGCCATGGGGGAGCAGCCACGGGGGGAGCAGCCATGGGGGAGCAGCTATGGGGGGGAGCAGCCATGGGAGAGCAGCCATGGGGGGGGAGCAGCCATGGGGGAGCAGCCATGGGGGGCAGTCATGGGGGAGCAGCCATGGGGGGAGCAGCCATGGGGGGAGCAGCCATGGGGGGGGAGCAGCCATGGGGAGCAGCCATGGGAGCAGCCATGGGGGAGCAGTCATGGGGAGCAGTCATGGGGGGGGCAGTCATGGGGGAGCAGTCATGGGGAGCAGTCATGGGGGGGCAGCCATGGGGGAGCAGTCATGGGGGGCAGTCATGGGGGGGCAGCCATGGGGGAGCAGTCATGGGGGGCAATCATGGGGGGGCAGTCATGGGGGAGCAGTCATGGGGAGCAGCCATGGCGGGGGC